AATTATTGTGTTTCCAGGAGCAGACGGTTAACTTTTTTTTTAAACCCCCAGATCTAATTAGCCCTCACGTCACGTGCAAAACTCGATGCTATCTACTGCACCAGGAGGCCGGGAATTAAAATAGGAAAAAGGCGAAACATCTTCTCTACGTACAACTCGAACTTCCGGCCGCAGCTGTAAGATTACAGCCCCAAAATTGTAATCTTTGATATCACTTTGCACTCGGGTTCCACCTCCAGTCTCTGCCCAGGTTAATTCTCGGCTTCCGCTCTCTGGGCCTGGTTACCGCCCTCGACTTTTCATCGGCCCGGATCTCCCCGAGCATGTGTTGGTCGTTAGACGGGACAGGCCCGGGGAACACGACAACACGGTGTGCGTCTTGTTCTTCTCTTCTCCGGGGCCGCTGCCGGCATTTGATGTCATCCCTTTTGGGAATTCCCGCAAATTGAAACCGATTGTTTGGATTCTGTCCCTTTTGTCCCGCCGGTGGGGTTAAATTTAGCACACGTGGTGTTTTATAAGGTGCCAACGTCTTTTTTTTTTTGCTTTGGTTCTGACCGGAGCGCGGCCGTTTTGTCTTTATACTCCTGTCCCGTGGCGTTGTTTTAGAACCTAAACATGCAGTGGATTCAGTGTTAAAGGACAATAGGCATGAGACGTTGAATATAAACTCCGTAGAGCAGCTAATGGACGAAAGATTTATAACCCTATTCTAGGAGTATCTCAAATTAAAACACCCCACCCCTACCCTTCTACGTACACATAGTCGCCTCCGTGTACAGTCGCTTTTTAATTATTCAACACAACCTTATCTGCCCCATAAACTATTATGCCTTATTAGTAAGGAATTTTTTTGTTTTCTCGTAAATCATACCACTTTGCTTTACACACAGACATGGTGTAAAGTGATACTTAAAAAAAATTTCTGTTCATCGTGCGGATTAAAGTAAAAACAACCGTGTTTATCAGCTTAACGTCGTCAGTCCGTCGGAGAATTTCCCTCAGCAGACGTGTAGTCAGCTGACTCAACGGTCACATGACTTCATAAACAATTAGAAAAAAAACCAACTTTGAGGTCAACTTTATTTTACAGGCACGGCCGGTCGTTGGCCCTTGGCAGTGAGTACAAATTGTGTACCACGAGCCCTCGAGAAAAGCTCGCGCAAACATTCAGGCGCACAACTTGAGGGATGGCGCCACCTAGGTACCATCATCCACTCACATTATTTAGCCCTGTATCTCGGCGTTGAGAAAAACCTACATGCCACTTGAGATTAGAAGAAAAATTTTCCGGTTTTTTTTTCAGTCGGACATTATTTATCTTCGATCCTTTGGTCATGCCAGATTTTTTTCTTCCTGAAAAAAAAAATACCACCCCACTTAAATTGACTCAAAGCCGGTTTTTTTTCATCTGTGGGTGATATCTAACAGGGGAGATAATTTAAGTGCCAATGTAAAGAATCAATGGGAACTTGTTAAGAGTTATGGAACTTTACTGTCGCGACTGGTTCCACACATTCGCCAAAGCTCGTCGCTCTATCAAAGGTTCAAACGCCGGGCAAGTATTCTGTAACGCTCATCAAAGTATGGACGTTTTAAAACCGCCTCTGTGAAAATAGCTCACCCATACTTGTCAATGATTGACGCCATCTTGGATTAGAATACGGAAACTGCTTTAAAAAAAAAAATTCGTCTTGAAAAAAAAATCCTTCATGGAATAGAATAAACAATGACACAAATTCGACAACACGGGGTTGCCTAGCAACCTCTCTGCTCTTTTGACATCTCACACCCTCGTCACGTCTCGAGAAAAGATTTGCTCCGCGAAAGTTTGTCACCTCTAGAAGGTGGTGATAAAAATTCGCGTCACTCCCCCGCGTCACATGTTATTTCAGAGGCACACGTTCGGTGCGAATGCGAGACGCTAGCGAGGGCGAGTAGAAGAATCAATACGTGAGTAGGGTCGCATAGCTTTAGTCAACATCTTAACGGTCGTTGGGCAACAGTTGGCATGACCCCCGCGTCGACATTTTTTTGTTGAAAAAATAAACCACCCGCTTACATATGGTAACATCTTTAGCTGTGTTAAAAACTTCATTCCTCAAACTATGACGCATAAGAATGCATTTCTATATGTAAATACTTCATTGTGTGACAGGTGGTGTATGCCTTTATTTATCATACTACTAGAGTCATTAGTATATACAGGCATGTGTCCTTATTAATAACGCGGTATTTCGATAGGTTTATTTCTAATTATTTCTAAGAAATAAAAGGGATTTTTTTTTGGTCCTCGATATTCCTCGTCAATGTTTAGATCTTGTTTGCTTTCTGTATGGGAGGCCTGCTCTGCGTTTCCATGGTGACCCCGAGAGTTAAAAAAAAAGCGACGTCAATTCCGTGTTGTGAAAACCGGTATGATACGGTAATCGTCTCTGGGAATACCTGACGGGGGTCAGGCCGGTACATGATGTATGCAACCTCCTGGACCACCTCGAGTCTGGCACTTGAGCTGACTGCGGGAAACTAAAATAAGCTCGCCGGCTCGAGACAGTGGCACCCGACTCGCGGGCTGTGCCGGCTACAAGGTTATTTGCTAAACACGAGTTATGGCTATGAAGGGGTCGAATGGAAGATGAAAAGTTCCCTCTTGGGTGTAAACAGTGCAGTGTGCCAACATCAACAGCCGAACGTCCCCCCAGCACACTCGCTCTTTTCAACACTCGATCAGGCCTCGTGCAGGCATGAAAAGTCACGGCATTTGTTGTAAAAATTGCAGGGGCGGATGCAATGACGTGGGGTGGTGCGCAAGGGGGGCGTGATGCCAGTGGGTAGGGCTGTCATTTTGTTGCTGTGACTTGGTGCTGTTTACTGGTGTAGGTCTCTTGTATAGTTTGTCGTTTTGACTTGCGCATGATTGATTTACTTCAGGTTCGATTTACTTCTCTAGTAAGTAGGGCGTGTGAGTTAAGTCAGCTCTGAGGAGAAGCCAACTCGAACCGATGTACATTGGCTAGGCATAGCGCAGACTATTTTGTCGATTCATACATCCAAACCAGAGATACAACTCTACTCCATCTACCCCCTTAGGCCTTTTTGTTTTTTTTACTTATTGTTGGAAAATTGCCCAACATATTGGACGTGTTATTCAATAGACGGTCAAAGCCACAATGATGCCTTTGTAACTGTAAACCTCCGCCTCACCACACGAGGGCCATCCCGAGGGCTACAATTTCCCGATCACTTGCCTGGACGCGTGAGTGTAATCGAAACACCGTGTCCTGCTCCTTGTGCGAGACACGGCCAGGTAAATAAGCCGCGGTCGGCTGATCAAGAAGTTGAGCACGTGCATTTATTTTTAGAAGCCTCAAAACAAAAACACGTGACTCGAAATCTCGTAAAGCCTCGAGCAGCCCCACTCGCCCTCGTAATGAGTTTCTGATGGCGGGACTCTGACGAGAAACCGAATACAACATGGATCTACGCGTCGCATTAATTTCACATTATGGGGGCTTTTCTAGGATACATTAGTTTTTGGGATTATTTGTGTATGCTTTTATATCCCCCAACGTTTGAACTGGAGGTTATCATAATTAAATTCGCACGTGCAGGCGGCTCAACTGAAAGTGTCTGGGTGGGTGGGTGGGGGGGGGGGGGGGGGGTGGGGAGACCTGGAGCTCGGCGTGGAAAATAAACTCACTTGTTGCTCGTTACAAGAAGCTCCACGAGTCACAGAGTTTGTAATCCGCGTTGAAATCCCGGCGAGGGGAAGAAAAACATTGCTTATTGACTCGTATCCACTTGCAACAAATAAAGAAATGCACCCGGTTTTATGCTTTTTAAATCTAAAACCTACCACGCTTTTGGATTTTACATTGCATTTGAAAAGTTAGATTATTTTTAATTTCTTTATAGTTATAATACAACTAGATAAAATTTTCAATTAAGGTTTATTTATTTATAAAATAAATCATCCCTCCCCCCTCCCAATTAAAGGGATCCTCGCAATGTCTTTTTGTTCCGACCTCCAATTTCGTAATTTTCGTCCATCACAGTATGTAAACTAAAACCTTACAATGGAACCTTCCCGTATTAAGTGATAGATCACCCAAGTAAAACAATGTCGACATTGTTCGAGATTTCTCCGAGGGCTCCATTCCCACAGCCGTCTTGAGGGTAGAATCCAACAGGGCATTTGTAGTATAGTGTACATAAACTTTACAGCATTACCTCCCCTTGCCCTCGTGTTTTCTTACAAATTGTTTACATATCTAAGCGCGTGCACTGCACATGCGCGAAAATTTAAAATGCGGCTCCAGATATCGGTTTCCCGTCGAGGCTTTATTTTTGCTAGGGCTCCCCGATTATTTACCAACAGAGGGAGAAATGACAACCGTTTTTCTCTCCCTTGTTGATCTTAACAACGTAAAGAAATTCCTAACACCAATCGCGGTGGGAAATTGTTGACATTTTATTGTCTCCCTTTGGTGGTGAATTATTTACTGTGGTTTATATATATATATATATATATATATATATATATATATATATATATATATATATATATATATATATATATATATATATATATATATATTATATATATATATATATATATATATATATATATTAAACTGCTTTTTGTATATTAAACTGTATTAACCATAATGCGGAGTTTTCCATTTTAAAAGAAGCATATAAAATAAATAAAAATAGAATCCCACAGACAAAAGTATTTTATGATCATGCCATATTGAGGGCTAGAATTAAACATTGCACCTTCCTTTTGTATAGTACTTTGAACATCTTGAATCAACAACTTAACCCGTATCTTATTTCACACCCATTTTTATTTCCTCTCACCAACCTTTACCTTCTGTGCTCTCATTCTCTTTAATGCTCTCTTATTTATTCAGAAGTATTTGTTGTTTTAATTGTTAATTATGATAGATTGCCATAGTAACTAAAAAAGTCAAATATTTTTCTTATGTCCATTTCAGAGAATCCGAGGATCGTTGAGCACCCAACTGACCACTACGTTGCCAGGAACGAGCCGGCCAAGCTCCTGTGTAAGGCCGAGGGTGACCCGACACCTGAGATCACGTGGTACAGAAATGGACAGAAAGTGACCACCAATAAAGATGACCCTTCGGCACACAGGTGAGTGTAATAAACCACCCCGCTAATCTAGGCATGTGGTTCCTCTGTCACCTGTGTTTGCAGCGATTAAGTTAAAGTGTATTAAACCACATCCGTGTATTTTACTTTTTCTCAAAATAAGAAGACGAAGAAGAAAAAGAACTCACACAAAAATCAAGCTATAAAATGTATTATTTCAGACTTCTGCTCGACAATGGAAACCAACTCTTCTTTCTGCGGATCATTCATTCCAAGACCCTCAAACCGGATGTCGGTACCTACTACTGCAACGCCACCAACATTCACGGCAGTGCCATCAGCCGCAACGCCACCCTTCAGATTGCCGGTAAGTCTGTTCTATTTTTAGCTCCCTTCTTATTTAGCCGTGATGAAGTCACGCAGATACAACGATGAATGCCTTTACGCGGTGTATTCTTCTAATACCGAGTACGTTGTCGAGGGTGAAACGGCTGACATTTTAAACGAGTTTGGCTGAGTAATTTTCAGCTTAATAAAAAAGGGATATTACAAAAAAATAAAACGAAAACAACCGACAAAGCTTATGTTTTTCATTATAGTGCTAACACAACGCGCATGCGTATCATAAAAAAAAAGAGACAGCAAACGAATCCCCCATTCCCCATCCTCACACTTGCTGGTAATTATAAGAGAAGAAAAACAGTGCCGCGAATTTCTTCAGCCTCCTGAACCTCATTACCAGCGTATTAACACTTGTGGGATTGTGCGCACCTTTTAATATGCACCGCTGCGCAAACATGTGTTCATTTCTGTTGAGAAAATAATAAGCACCGAGCCTCAAGTTTACACTGGCAACCAAAACAAAACCTCGCGCCATCAATCATACTCTCGAAGACAGCCTTCTTCTTATCTCATTATTACCCATCTGCTTCCTTTTTCATAGGTTGCGTTTCTTTATCCTTTCTTCTTACGGACAAGAAGGATAACCTGTGCGGCTAGTTATCTTGTCAAGTGCCATTTGTCTCCCTTTGCTTGATATCCGTTTTCACTAACATTAATGTTTATTTTTAAATTTACTATCTTACCTCCCTGTAGTTTTCCGGTTGTTTTTTTTTGGTTAGACGTTAAACAATGCGTCAATTATTGAATCCGGTTTCAGTTACATTTCAACCGTCCTCCATTTGTACCGCTCCGGTTAGATGAAACTCGAAACCATCGCGCCCTCGACAGCATCGCGCCGGCAGCACACTACAACAGTCCTGGTGGTCGGGAATTCGGTCGGCAGTTTTAGCGTTAATTAGATTGTCATGGTAATTAGATTGCCGTCATCAAGTCACATCTCCTACATGGGGGTTCTCAATTGGTGAACTTGGGGGCTCTGGTGAGACCTGATAGAGTTAGAAGGGATGGTGACTAGTATAGTCTCCTTTGTAGAGTTTGGCGTCGATTTTTCAGAAAGGCACCATTTTCTAAACCAATGTTAGGAAAAAAAATTCAAGATACTGTAAAATTTATGTATAGTAACATGCGTTAGAATTGAAAATCCCCATGCATGTCTAAAATTCCTCACGCGAACCCTAAACCTAACCAATTGTTTTACTTAAACCCAAAAGTACCGATACGCTATCACGTGGCTCACCGCGGTAAATTGACTACACGGAAGTAGAGCTATAGATAGAAGATTCGGTAGAGTTGTCCCTCCTGTTCTCCCCCTGACACTATCTCCTCGTTTTTGACGTCTAGTCGCGGGCGGGATAGCGAGTGCCTGCTACACAAGAGGGGGGTCCCAAACAACCCCGCGGGACTCACTTAGACCCCTAATAGGGGTCCTGTGTTCTGGTAACTCCCGTCTTGACAGCTATCTCGAGTCCCACAAATGAAAGAAAAATACTGGAAGCAGAACATCACACGGCGAGGGCTCCGGCAAGCTGGGTGCCGGCAGGAGGGGTGCCGGTTGGTCTGCATGGAGGGAGGCCGGTGTAACTGAACACCGGCTTTAAAAATTAATATTAGACTGAAAGTTGTTGTAGCATCTGGACCGTGCTACGGTTAAAGGCTACCGTAGAGCTGATCGTACACCGCATGTTTCATGGTTGACTGAGTGAATAATGAGGGGCTCGACCGCGAGAAATAATTAAATCATTCTCCATAGACAATAGAACAAAAACACTCGAACTCTACTTGCCCCATGGACCATCAGGTTTGAAAAGGATTTTTTTTATATAAACAACAGAACGAAAACAAGTTTTGTTTTTTAAGGTCATCAGCTACCGAGCTTACTGTCAAGTGAACAAAAATATCGTGTATCCGTTTTCGATAAATCTTCAAGATATATTTACCATGCTAAAAAAATATATTTCTGTAAATCAATGTTTAATTTATCCAAAGTATAACATTTATGAAACCAATGGGGGTCACTGCTCCAGATTCTATTTATAACCTACATTTTTTTGTTTCTTTACCATTCTTTGCTATTTTTGTCCCAAATGTGAGTAATCAGAGAGAAAATTTGCTCCGGTTTATGCGTGATCAGCCGTTGCCTTGACTCCCGGGGGAAAAGGTCGTCTAAAAATATTGTACATGGTCCTACTACGCTGCTAGTATTCCACTGGTCATGAGCCTTGGTGTGGGGGCAGGGGGGGGGGGGGGGAGGGAGTCGGCATGTTAATAATTGGTACTCGTGACTAGCAAATTTGCCCCGCTAAAGTGAACGGGGTATGTTGCTGGTATTCTCTTGTTTATGTAAATGAACCAGCACTACGTACTGCAATGCGGGTATCGGGTATATTCGTAGGTCAAGGTCATCCAACATCAGTCTGCGGGTGTCTTTCATCTAGTCTGTACCCACCTACTTTTTGACAGACACAATTTGCAGTTTGTCTTCCACGCCGTTTGAAACTACCTACACTATGCACCGTGGCTATATCCCTCGCCCCAAATTCACCCCATAGCAATTTGCAGTGGTCTTCAATCTTGTCTAAAAACTTAAGCCAGCCGCTCCCCTTATACGCCCCCCCCCCTCCTTCCAAATTCCGCACCGATTTTTATCCGGCAGATGCGGCGTCCTTAGAATTTGTTGCCCCCTCACCCGTGACTTGTACGCGGGCCCCTCGTGATGGACTGACTTGATGCTTCCAGGATAACCATGGAGACGCGATCAGCTCTGAAATGGAGCGGTTACTGTGCATCTGTGCTGCCCCACAACGGGTAAACCCGATCTATTACCATGGGCGTGTAGGGGGTTGGGGGGAGGGGGGTACGGAATTTAAATGAATTGTTTCCTTCGATGTGAGTAGCGTTTGGATACATTTCATTCGTTTGGAAAAAGCACACAAAAAAAAGAAATTTAAAAAAAAAAGTGGATAACCCTTTTGTATTATTTTAATGGTTGTAGATAATTTATGTAAGAAAACAAACCGTTAAGTTGAATATTCGGTGGTAAAATTACATTGTGTTTATACATCGATGTTTGTTTTCTAAGTGATAAGCTCACATGTATTATTAGAGGGTTTAAGTTAATTCCCGTATATTTTCGATTTTAGTAGCCGCACGACCTAGTGTTTAACTGGGGTCTTCTTTTTTTTTAGTTCGTGTTGAATACACAATGGAGTAGTAGTATTTAAGTTACCATCACCAACACGCGATATTTAACACTCTTTAGCTGCAGCGCCATAAGTCGTAAACGCCCACACCCACTAAACCAGTTAACACATATCTACTTTTAACACTCATCAACAAACATGACACAGTTTAACATGCAACATCATTAAAGATTTTAACGCACATCCGCATCACCAAACAGTTTAACACCCAGCACAACAATAAAAGTTTTATTAACCATCAGCGACACCCCCCCCCCACCCCACCCCCCCCCCCCCCATCAGCACCACTAAAGGGTTAAACAGGGTTAAACGGCCATTAGCACCACACCCCAGCCGTTTAGTTTTGATGTTCAACAATAACCTCGCCCACCCCATGCCCGGGGCTGAGCTCTTCACTGAAGCGGTCACGATCCATCTCTGTCTAGGCCTGACACCTGCCCCCCTGCGGCAGAGTGCACCGTTAAAATGTGCGAAGATGCTTGCTGCACTCGGGGTTTATCAGCCCAGATATCAGTGCACTAATCCTGGTCGATTAAAAGTAAAATTTTTGACCTTGTCCATGTTCGGTTTGACTCATTAGATTACACGCATTCTTGTAGTATATTTACCCTCGGGATACCTTCGTATCATTTGTCATTCTTTGACAGAATCTCAATTATTTTTTATAAATAAAGTTGTTACGTCTTAATAAGAAAACAACTTTTCTTTGACCATTGAGCAATGTTAATGGCTTTATTCCCCCCCTCCCCCAGGCCATTCATTTCCGGGTTTGGGTGGGGGGACGGGGGGGGGGGGGTCGGGGCGCACACACGTTTAAGAATATTTTTTCTATATAAATTATATTATTCTATAGAAATTATATATTTTTTTCAATTTTGTCCGGGGGCGGGGGAATGGACGTGCTTCGAAAGGATGCCTCCACACCCCCCTCCCCCTCCTTATAGAGATTCATGAAAGAAACTGTTTAAGACCATCCTTGTATAGTTTAAGGCATGTATGCCTGGTTGCCCTTTAGCATATTCCCCTCCCATCAGAAAAAAATACTGGCCAAACAGACCAAGCATAAAAAAACCTGGCCAATCTGAATGAGCACACATGGTCAGCATGTCCGGTCTACACTGGACTGTTATTCCAGGATTCCCCTCTAATTTCTACACGTGAGCCTCCACCGCTGGGGAAAATGGCGGCCAGTGTTTTGAATCTTCCCTCACGTGGTGTAACTTATTTTTTGCTTTCGTACTCTTTATTTTCGAGTTATTTCCCCTCGCGTGCTCGGTGTTGCACACGGACCGTGGCTAGGAATCAACCGTTTCGCCGACTCATTGTCTCTTCCCCCTTCCCCATTCTAAAAAAACATTCACTTTTTTCTTTGAAAAACAAAGCTTATTCCCATCCCCCACCCTAAAATTCTTTACTTTTTTCCTGCATATACATGGTTCGCCCTATTTTTTTTACATTTATATATGAATCTATAGCAATACAAATGGTGTATATAGTTGCATGTATTAAAGACTATCATCGGTAGCACGTGTGTATAACACAACCATATGGTATATCATAACCATGATATTTCAAGATTAAGGCTACTTTCACATTAGGTAGTACGGTATGCTTAAAAAGGTGTACAGTTTTAGATCTATCAACAAAAGCATGACCAGTTAGGATTGAACTGCGTTTTAAAAAATGTGCAAGTTTTTATTAAAAAAAATAATGGTTTTTTTTTTATTTCATTGCTAATAAACAATGAAAATCCAAATCACGTGCTGACGTCACAGGCGCGTCATACTCTCGTGTCTTAGCCCGCACAACGCGGGCTTTATACCCTCTCTAATAATTCGAGTTCTCGAATCTTACAAAAACAGTCACAACGAATGAAAGCCTACACTTTTTTTCTTGCATTCCACTCGAAACTAGTGAAACCATGTAACGACGTCACTACCAATGCTTTCCTTTCATTAGTGATGTCATTCCGACCCTCACCCCTCATGTCGGCTCCCCCTGCCCTCTCCAAGGCACGCGCTCTAGGCTCGTTTCCGTCCCTCCCGGCCTCGGGGATTGTGGGCCGAGGGAAACCCTAAGGCAGACGTAATCCACTTCTGGCGTGGAGCGCCGGGGTTAATGAGAGATTCGGGGCTGTTAAAATTCTTAGAGACTTAACCCTTTAGCTGCCGAGATCGGCTGAAATAATCCCGGCCCCGCATCCAGATCCTGAAGGTTTTCTTTCAAACAACGTTCGTTTGAGAAATGTGTCAAGGTTCATATTTGGGTTATGGGTCCTGAAAATAACCAACCCACAGACAACTGTTTTGTTTTCTGGAGTTTGCTAAACGAGTTAAGATTAGTAACGAATCACTGGTTAACGAGTTAAGATTAGTAACGAATCACTGGTTAACGAGTTAAGATTAGTAACGAATCACTGGTTAACGAGTTAAGATTAGTAACGAATCACTGGTTAACGAGTTAAGATTAGTCACGAATTCACTGATTAACGAGTTAAGATTAGTAACGAGTCACTAGTTAACTAGTTATAATTAGCAATGTGTCATTGATTTTTTTTCTCTTAGCAAAGACTGAAGCTATTAACCGCAATATCTGACTATTATGTTGACTATTAACGTTTATATGATGCGATAGACATTGTTTACCCTAGGTTGATATTTCTTTATATTCTGTCTAATGGCGGTTTCAGCTACTTTATAATGAAAGTGAACTTTTGACGAGGCTTAAGCGAGGGTTATATTACACTTATTATTTTAGGTAAACATAGCCTGCTCTTTTCGAAATACGTGAACTCATGGGAGGGATTTTCTTCGACGTTGACTACTGGAAAACAAATGGTCTCGTTTTAGGTAGAGAAGTTATTTTTACAATATGTAGGGGGGGGGGGGGAGGTTGAGAGGGAGAGGGGGCTGTTCGGTTTTGAGGGTGCTCGCTGTGTCACTGCATCCACAACTGTGGCGCCCTCCAACTTTAGCGAGGGGTTGAAAACATTCACGTCCACATTTTAGGGACGCCAATAATCCTAACAGCTATACGGTCTCTTGTACTAAAGTAACACAGTACACATCTTCGCCCTAACCACAACATAGCTGTAACTGTGAGCAGCGTTCCCTCCATTCATCTCGCCATTTCTTTATGTCTCCACCCCAGTTCCATCATCAAATTATTCTTCCTTTTCATGTTTTTTTTTTCTTTCCTTCTTCCTCCATTTCTGTCCAACTAGTCCAAACCACCCCTCCTCCCCCCACTTCCGGCACAGACCACACCCCTCAAATCGCGGCCTAAAAACCCCTCAATTTTAATCACAGCCACTCTCTCCCACACTCCATCACTCGTCACAAACTCCCGAGGACGGAATGGTTTGATCTCCTCGACCTACATTTTTACACATCCCATTTTTTTCTCCTCCCCTCTCGTTGTGGACATTACACGAGCACGCTAAAGAGGGCCTAAAAGATTTCTGTTATAATTTTTTTTTTAGTTTTTCCCAGACAAATAAAGGTACTGTTGTGTGCTCGCTGAATGCAGTGCCATGCATGTTCCTGGTTCCACGCTTGCCTCTGTTTGCTCTTCTTCGTCTTCTCAAGTTGGTGAAACAAGAGTAAAATTAATCGCTGCATCTCACGATTTCCAGTGTGCGGAATTTTATCAACACGTTTTTACCCTTGAAAATTTTCTCATTCGATTGTCCAGAAATACATTTTTTATTTCTACAAAAAAAAAGATGGGGTTAGTTCAGAGTTCACGTTGACGCTGGTAATCAATGTAATCGATGTAATATTACACAGGCTGAGCCCATAAACGTGATTGGGTGAAGGTTAGGGTTATAAAGACATCCCATAAATACAACGAAGGTCTATTAGCATCCTGACCTCCAAGAAATGAAGAAAAAAAAATGAACCGAACCCAGTGAATGTCTGTTGTTTACTTTTTGTCCCTCCATCTTACTCGTGGCGTTATCAGCCCTCGTGCCCCGGCCCCAGCGGCAGGTTCCCACCTGGGAGACGTGCGACAAATGTATTCCGTCAGAGAACTGCGCGCATTGCTGCTCATCTAATCAGCTTAATTTCCCCTCACACCTCGATTATCCCCTCCTGTTTTCACGTGATATATTTCCAGTTGTTTCCCCTAGTGGCCACCCACCGTTTGTCTCATCCTCATCAATTTAAAAAAAAAAACAAAAAAAAAAAAAACACAGCTATCGCCCTTGAATTGATTCCCCCCACCACCCCACCATTTAGAGGTTCTCATTAATTTGTTTAAAAAAAATACTTCGCTCGCCTGTCCATCTTTCGATTACATATCACAGGAGACGCCATTCACCCCCCCCCCATCCCCTGCCCACCCCTTATCCCATCATTGCAATCTCGTGTCCATGGAAACCATTAACCTCGTTCTGGTACTCTCCGATAACAACATGGCTAACAAACCTCGGCCTCAACAATCCCTGTTTGTTATTCAACTATTTATACAACAAATGCTAACGTCTCGATTTTTCAACGCTGATGGCTATATCTATTTTTATAAAGCCACCTGATACATTTAAACTTTAGGAGAAACGCACTATTGTTTCTGGTTAATTTATCATTGATAAAAATTCTCGACGGCTTTTAGAGATACGCCCATATTCAACAATAGTTCCTGTATAGGCAATGACTAAGATGGATATGGGACTCATTAAAACGTGTGATACGTCCACAGTGCTGAGGGAGGACTTTCGGGAAAGCCCGCAACCCGTGACGGTGGCGGCGGGCGAGACGGCGGTGTTCAGGTGCGTCCCGCCCCGGGGGGAGCCCGAGCCCAAGGTCATGTGGCACAAGGACAACGCCCTGCTGAGCCAGGACAGCCGGGTGATGACCAGCCAGGAGGGCAGCCTGACCATCACGTCGGTCAAGGTCAGCGACGCCGGCAAGTACACGTGCATCGCCATCAACCCCGGGGGTGAGAAGGAGAGCGGCCCGGCCCTGCTGACAGTGCTGGGTGAGTATTACGTGACCCTGGAGGTACAACACTCCACACAGGCGATAGGGCTGGTAAGTAGGTCACCAACCAGTTCTACGGCTCAATAAAACCTGCATGAGCCATAGAACTGGTTGGTGACTTACTTACCAGCCCTATTGGACCCACACAAAAATACATTCAACAGTTTTAGTTTTTATCAGTCGGCCTTTTTCTGTGATACTGTACTTAAAAAAAAACAACCTAACCCTAGATCATTTGACCTTTTGATTTACATAGACCCCTATTGACAAACAAATACGCCAGAGTACAAATAGGATGTCAGTTCAAGTGCATAAATACCTGTTCCATCTCCTCACCTTTACACACACCTGTACCCAGTTTAGAAATCACAATAACACCTCCACCCTCACACGTGGAACATAATAGGACCCAGTCTGGTAGGTGGGGGGTAGGGGTCCTTAGATACCACCCCACCGACACCATATTGCTCACAGACACTCGGGGGGTTTGGCATACCTGCAACACCTATGCTCAGCCCATCAACCAAGGCCCATAACTCCACTTATCCTTTGATTCGTGATTACCTAACCCTCGCCTGTGTCTCGGCAGAGAAACCCACATTCCGCGAGATGCCGGACGACATGCAGGCAAATGTCAACGACACGGTCGAGCTCAAATGCCGGTCGTCTGGGGACCCGGCCCCAACCATCGTGTGGAAGCGAGAACAGGGCCGTATCCCCCACGGGAGGTGAGTAAAAATCAAATTTCCCTACCTGGCAGGGACTCTGTTAGTCAGGTAAAAGATGCTAGACCATGTATAGAAACACCAACACACGAAATCAGTCTGTTCCAAAAATTATTTTCTCTTATATATATATATATATATATATATATATATATATATATATATATATATATATATATATATATATATAATATATATATATATATAATATATATATATATATAATATATATATATATATATATATATATATATATAATATATATATATATATATATATATATATATATATATATATATATAATATATATATGAACTATTGTATTCAAAATTAAATTAACTTTTAATATCAATTGTAAATCGTAATTCTCAGACACAATTTAAGAAAAAAAATATAACCAACATTTTTTTTTTTTTTTTTGCTCTAACGGTTCTGTAATAAAAATTAAACTAACGTGTAATATTTATAGCAAATCATGAATTTCCAGACAGAATAACGAAACAAAAAAATAACATTTTTTTTTTACTGTGGTACCCCCATCTATCAGTATTAAGATTATCCCATAATGGGTGAAAGCCACATATAAAGTACATTTTTTAACAAACGGACTTGTACCGCGTAGGGCGAGGACGCTGGAGGACGGTACGCTGAGGATCGAGAAGGTGCAAGTCGCTGACGACGGCGTCTACGTGTGCGTGGCTGAGAACACCGCCGGCACCGTGGAGGCGGTCGGGAGATTGTCAGTACAAAGTAAGTATAACACTGTTTACATTCCCAAGCACAGAGTAATCACGGATTTCTAAATATAGACATCAAACATGTCAATGTAGATTACGCCCCTTTCGAGATTTTTTCTTTTCTTTTTCATAAAATGAATTTTGACATTTCTGTGTTTATGCTTCATCCAATTTGAACAAGGGAACAAAGTTGTTTCCCTTTATACTTTGTAAATACGAACTGACAAGCCATTACGGAATCTTTTGTTTGTAAAAATGTGTGTTCTCTAACTCCGCCCACCAGTATATGTTTTTAACATTCCTTTACGTTTTTTCTTACGTCTATCATTAAATACAGATATTATCATGTAATTTGTATCAAGACAATTAGTGCTGTTTTTTTTTTTAATAATTTTCTTTAACAACGAATTATTTTCAGCCCATCCATCGTTTCTGATATCACCGAAAGATTTGAAAGTGGGCCGGGGTAGGACCGCCATAATGCAGTGTGTGGTGACGGGCAACCCACCGCCCACTGTCTTCTGGAGCAAGGGCAAAGACCCGGTGAGCTCAGATATTTAGTCATAAAACATAACCAGATATTTAGTCATAAAGCACACAACCATATATTTAGTCATAAAACACACAACCAGATATTTAGTCATAAAACACACAACCAGATATTTAGTCATAAAACACATTGATACTGATTTAACTGGTTATATCTGGTAACTATTTGCTAAAACAAGTGTCATTTCTACTGCATCATTTGTTAACTCACTCAAATACTCTCAGTAGTTCAACTCAACCCACTATTTATCACATAATAACATCAACATCATTGCCCACCTTTCTAGAAATTACTTTACCACCTGTTACAATTTAATTAACCCATCATCCAATCTGTACCTATCCATCACATCATAAGAACACCATCCACCGCCATCCATTTCCCAAACCCCATCATCATACACCCCACCATCAACCAATCACCCAATTTCCTAACCATCCACTACCCTATCTACCAAAAAAAAAATATTTATTTTATTTCTATATTTTCCCTCTTCCAGCAACTCTTTTTCCCGAACCCCATCGCCATACACCCCACCATCAACCAATCACCCTATTTCCTTACCATCTACTACCCTACCCGCCACGAAAAAAATAATTTATTTCTATATTTCCCTTCTTCCAGCAACTCTTTTTCCCGAACCAAGGTCACGGTCACCTGTCGGTAACAGACGATGGCACCCTGAGGATAGAGAGCGTGGACTTCCGTGACGAGGGGGTGTACCAGTGCCAGGCACTCAATGCCCTGGCCAACTCTAAAGTCTCAGCGACCTTGACTGTCATAGGTAATTGATGTTAGGGGTTACAGGGTAGGGGTCAAAGGTGTTTAGGAATAATTTTAAGGGTTAAATGGATACAGTTATAAGGGATAAATATGTTTAGGATCTTTGACTAAAGTCTCAGCGACCTTGACTGTTATAGGTAATTCATCTTAGGGGTTACAGGTTAGGGGTTACAGGTGTTAAGGAATAATTTTAAGGGTTAAAGGGATGCAGGTATTAGGGCTAAATATGTTTAGGATCTATGAATTTAGGTAAAGGGCTTTATGTGTTGTTTTACGATGTTAAATGATGTTCATGTTTAGGTAAGTTTGATTATGTTTGTGTTAAAATAAAAAAAAAGTTAAGTTCCCTTTTAAACCTGAGGGGTCTATAGGGCAAGTGAAGTAGAGTTCACTTGTTTCTATGACCTCGGCATGTGAAGAGATAGTGCGGTCACCACTACGCCCAGCCGCCTTTACTTTCCCTAAGTAACGTGAGTTAGATACCCATCAGAGTTTGGTGGACTCAAGGACGGTCTACTGACTTGAACCCGGATTCGAACTCTAGAATAATGGGTTAGCAGTCCAGCTCTCTACCGCTAGACCATTCCATCCCATTGTGTTATAATCACTTGGGTTTAATGGCATCAATGTATCTTACAGTGTTGAATATGTTTTGTTATAGTTAACTGTGTTTATGTTGACTAGAGGCAAATATTCAGACATATTGTCTTATTTCTGACACAGCTTTATTGATTTCTTTCATTTTTTTTTCCACAGACCAAGACATTCGCCTGCCCCCAGTTATTGTAGTTGGCCCCAAGAACCAAACCCTGGAGGCCAAGGACGTGGCCATGTTGTCGTGTCAAGGTGAAGGTCAGCCACCCCCAGCCATCAGGTGGTTCAAAGATGGGAAGGCCCTGCCTTACAACGACCCCCACTACATGTTCTTGCCCTCTGGGACCTTACAGATCTCTGGTAATTACAACAAAAAATGTCACCATCAACCGTGAATAGGGCTGGTAAGTAGGTCACGAAACAGTTCTACGGCTCAATAAAACCTGCGTGAGCCATAGAACTGCTTGGTGACCTACTTACCAGCCGTATTCAGATGTTCACTATAAATGTTTGTTCCATGTTTACTTGAACTTTGACCTGTCTCCTGGTTCACCCAATGGGCTGTTGTTTACTTCACAGATCTTAAGCTGGCTGATTCTGGAGTCTACATGTGTAAGGCTATTAGTGAGACTGGTGAGACAGGCTGGGCTGCTTCACTTACAGTTGCTAGTAAGTCTCACTTCCAAATGTTGTGTGTCTAAAGCCATAGTTTAGATTAGATTAAGTTAAATGAAAATGAATATGACAAGGTATTTAGGAACTAAAATGATTAGCTGAAAATTATGCACTTACGTTAGATACAGCATGTAGCTAAATTTAATGAGGATTCAGTATTAGACCAACTGCCTAGAATGCTGGGAACCTGCATTCTTCAAGCAGAAGTGCTGTCATTTTTCTATAACAAGATACAGCTACTCTTTGTTATAGAATAATAACTAAAGAGATCAACCAGCTTTATTGTATCCCCATCTTAAACTATAAAGGTCACCTTAAGCTATGGTGGTCTGTATAAATGATAATATTAATGCCAGATAGTTATTTATAGAGGATAACCATCTTACCTACTTGCATGGTAACGTATGTGTATGTATCTCCACAGAGCAAGGCACCTACATCATCAAAGAACAGTACCAGAGTGCGCTGCCTGCTGCACCATCAAAGCTGCGGGTCTCGGATGTGGCCGACACGTCAGTCCACCTGACCTGGATAAGCCAGGAATTGGGACAATCACCTATTACTGGATACGTTGTGGAATACTTTAGCCCACAGACGCCGCAGGTAAGATTACCTGGATTATCCACCTGGATTAGTACCTCTGATCCATTCTGAGCCAAACCAGCTAAAAGATAAGGACAATGTTTATTTTCCCACAGGGGTGGCAGTTAGCCTCTGACACTGTCTCCAGGGAAGGCTACACAGTGAAAGATTTGCTACCGGCTACCAGCTATGTCTTCCTGGTCCGAGCCAAAAATTCCGCCGGACTCAGCCCACCTAGTCCAGTGTCTGATTTTATAACCACAAGAGGTATGTGACCACTGTCCAGTCGGCTTAGCTACCACTCATTATCTTCTTAAGGTTTGCAAAACCAAAAAAAAATGAAACCAGGCTTAATTGATGCAGGTCATTAGTCAGATAACAATCATGGGGCAGAAAGATAGCTTATTTTGATGAAGCTATGTTTTAAAATGTTTATTTTAAAATGTGATGACCATTAAGGAACCTATTTTAGAGTAGAGATTTTTTTTCTAGAGGTGTTTCATAATGTTATGACCAAAGGTCAGCTTAAATAGCTTATTTTGAAGAAGAGGATTCATTTTCTAGAAAATTTAGTTTCATAATGTGATTATCAAAATAGTCAGCTCCAAAAGTTGATCATGTTTTTGACTGTCATTTCAGAAAAACGCCGGACATTTGCGGTCAACATGCCCAGGGAGGAGATTGTGAAGGAGCTGGGAGCTCTAAATATAGACATGATCTCAGCAGAGCCTATCAATGCCAGCGCCATCAGGATCAAGTGGGAGGTGAGTTCCAGATGACCTACCTGCCTGTCAGGGTTACCTGGTAGTGTTTCCACATGGCTGGTTTTTTTGTCACACCTGTCTGTGGTGATAGTCTTACCTGGTGAGATTCTGGTCTCTTTTAATGCATCCGGGGGTTCTTTCTAGTTGATGCACTCAGGGCATAAACACTTCACTAGGGGGCATCATCACCCAGGTGTACCTTGCTGAGGAATATTATCTAGCATGAGCACAGCAATACTGGGCAGAAGCTTGCTGCTAGGCTAAAACATTAGAAAATGCTCTAATGTGAACATTTGGGGCATATCCCTAGTTTATCTATTAAGCAAATGCCCCTAATCTAAACACTGGGCAAATGCCCCTGTTCTTAACATTGGATGGGCAAATGCCCCCAGTCTTAGAATTAGACAAATGCTCCTAGTCTAAACATCAGACAAATGATGCTAGTCTAAAAAATTCGGCTTGGGCAAATGCCCTAAACATGAAGGTCTAATGCTCCTAGTTTTAAAATTGAACAAAGTATTAAGTTTATGCAAAGTACAAATTCACCAACCCTGAACATGCAGGTATAATGCCCTAGCCTAAAGGTATTTGGCCATTGCACCAATCAACCCTTGTAGCTTGTTTTTAAACTGCTTTAAAATATCAAGGTAAAGAGATGATATGATAGATTACATTTCATCTTAGCCTGTATTTTAATTGCCAACAAGATAGGTGTGTGTTACATGTTAGACACAAATGTATGCTAATTTATGCTAATTACAGGTTGGTACAAGCTTAGCCGCCATCGAGGGTTACATCATCAATTATACGCTAGTCCTTGAACTTGACCCAGTGAAGTACGGCCAGAGCAGCATCATAAAGATAACTGACCCGTACCAGTTCAGGTCTTTCATCACTGACCTGAGCCCGTACTCCATGTACCAGGTGTGTGTGAGGGCGTATGCCAGGGATGTGACTAGCAGGTGTTCTAAGTCTATGAAGGTGGCAACCAAGGAGTCAAGTGAGTGTGCTATTTCATATCAAGCTTTGGTCAGTTTTGTATCTTGTGGTCAGTGTTGTCTTGTGTGGTCAGTGTTGTGTCTTATGTGGTCAGTGTTATATCTTGTGTGGTCAATGTTACATGTCAAGGTCAAGATGTGGTCAGTGTTGTAACTTGTGTTCAGTGTTTCATATTAAGGTCAAGTTGTGGTCAGTGTTCTGTCATGTTTTTAGTGCTATATATCAAGGTCAAGATGTAGTTAGTGTATCTTGTGGTCAGTTTTACATGTCAAGGTCAAGTTGTGGTCAGTGTTGTATCTTGTGTGGTCAGTGTTACATGTCTAGGTCAAGCTGTAGTCAGTGTTGTATCTTGTGGTCAGTGTGACATTTGAAGGTCAAGTTGTGGTCAGTGTTCTCTCATTTTTTCAGTGCAACATGTCAACGCCAAGATGTAGCTAGAGTATCTTGTGGTCAGTGTTAGACTAATTTGTTTCTGTCCACAGTCCCTACAGCGCCACCTGAGAACATTGTGATCCACAAAGAGGGTGACTCCATCCACGTCAGATGGTCACCTCCACCCAGACAACACCAGAATGGTGACATCAAGGGCTATGATGTAAGTCTGATCACCTTCAAGTTTATACTGAAATACTTTCCTGTTTTGCTGGTTTGTCTCATAAAGTTATGGCCACAGATGGGTTGGGAGTAATATCATACTCATTTAAAAAATATATTTGTTGGGTTAATCAACAAGGGTCTAATTAATTAGATGTGATGATGGGGTGTGGATCCTAATTAATTTGACTAGTCCATCATTTTTGTTTTATCTTCCATATATTTACTGCATAACAGTATACATTAATTAAATGTGTGGACCTGATTAATTTGACCAATGTCCATCCTTTTTGTTTCATCTTCCATATATTTACTGCACGGCAGTAAAAAGTAATAAGATGTGATAATGTGTGGACCTGATTAATTTGACCAATGTCCATCCTTCTTGTCTAGATCTACTGCATGTCTGAGGAACACAACAACAACTGCAGCACAGTGGCGTCTGGCAGTGACAGCAGTGTGGTCATCAAGAAAGTGGACATGGACGGCTCCTTCAGGATCAAGTTGGCTGCTAGAACAAACAAGGGCCGGGGCACATGGAGCAAAGATTTCGTCTTGGGTGAGTGGTCACTTGTCATACTACAACGGTCATTTGGTACATTTGTGATTAAAGAATTAGTCTTGGGTGAGTGGTCACTTGTCATACTACAATGGTCATTTGGTACATTTGTGATTAAAGAATTAGTCTTGGGTGAGTGGTCACTTGTCATACTACAACGGTCATTTGGTACATTTGTGATTAAAGAATTAGTCTTGGGTGAGTGGTCACTTGTCATACTACGATGGTCATTTCGTACATTTGTGATTAAAGAATTAGTCTTGGGTGAGTGGTCACTTGTCATACTACGATGGTCATTTCGTACATTTGTGATCAAAGACTTTGTCTTGGGTGAGTGGTTACTTGTCATACTACAATGGTCATTTTGGTACATTTGTGATTTCAGACTTTGTCTTGGGTGAGTGGTCACCTATCATACAAAAATAGTAATTTCATACATTCTTGATTTCATACATCAGTCATTACATACATTAGTCTTCTTATATATACACTCGTCTTTTCTTATTTTGGTCTTTTCTTACATAAGTTGTTCCACATTGTATTGGGTTACATGAGTTTGCTTGGTAGTTTTTATAGAATTTTTCAATGAAATGGTCAGTTTGTAAATGTCATTTTAATATAGAGGCATTTATAGCAGATACCATAATTTGTTGTCCATGTTAATACTTTTCTGTGTCTATCCATATTTTTTTGTATTTCTTAGCTCTATACTCATCTCCCATCCTAGTCTAATCTATCACACTGCAAAGTGTCTAAACTCCACCCAAATTTCTATCATTAGACCAACTCCTACCGATTCTAATAACAGATCAGACACACATCTGCATCCCCCCCCCCATATCCTCGATTTTTTTTCTCCACCCCACACCCTTCCCCTCCTTCCTCCTTCTCTCCTCCCCCCCCCCTCCCCCCCCCCCCCCTCCCCCCCCCCCCCCCCATAAATCCACTCCCGAGCAAACAATATTTAGTGACACCGAAAGTACCAGTGGGATAACGAATGGCGGACATGTCTGGAGGAATGGCGAGGGCCTGAAATGATCAGGGAGGGACCCGGGGAAAGCTAATCCAATTTCTCGCCTCCCCGAGTCGGCAATAAATTTAAGGCCCGAGGACCCCAAGTTTTTCATTTCACGCCCAGTAAAAAAAAAATTGCAATAAAAGGCAATAATTATTTTTGATGGCGGAATCTTAGGTCAATTTGCGAACAAAGGGAGACGATTCTAACATTTTTTTGGCTGTGTTTTAATGTAGAGAATATGATGTGCGCTGCCATGCTGTGCACTGTGTACATCGTCATTAGCCACATGTTTGTCATACCATCTCGTTGGGACCACGTGATCTCTTTATTTGGGTTCACTCGTTATACAATGTGTTATCGGCCTTTGATTGTCTTTCCTCTTTGTTGGGAGCAGGATCATCACCAGTTTACGTCGGTTATACTGCAGAATAAAATGCGGCTATGTCATCTGTTTGCTATTGGCACATGGGTTCCTTGAAAGTCGGAAGAAAAGTCCTGTTTTTTTCCCTTCTGAATATTGAGTTATTTCCCTGGGTCAAAGATAGGCCCTACTTTATAGATTAACAAACGTTTCCATTTTTTAGTTATGCGAGTCAATGAAGCTAGTGGTTGTGTCCCAAGGTGACCAATGGTCAAGATCAAATTTAATACAAAATAAAGCAATGTCCATTTATGACCCTTGGTTTTCAACACATGCCCTATAAAGAGAATGACGGTTCTCCTTACATAAATGCGCTTTTCTTTTTAATTTAAAGTTCTCTGTGTTTTTTCTCTCCTTTCAACTCTAAGTTTCTTCCTCTGTCCGAGAAGCTCTCTCTCTCTCTCTCTCTCTCTCTCTCTCTCTCTCTCAGTCTTATTCCATTAGCGAATTACCCCTGTCTTACACTCGCACCTAGATATAATTTATAACGCATTCATCTTCCCCCCCCCCCCAACCCATCGGAAGTCAACACTGCAAGCCAACTTCGTCTTTTTGTTACATGGTCAATTCTGAAATGCCTGTATAGTTCACCCAACTCCAAGGGCAATAACCAAATTGGTTTATTTATGTTCCGGTTGTAGATGGGACATGCTGATCAAGCAGTCCAGCCCCGTCAGTCCAGCCCCGTATGTTGGTACATTAAATTAGACCACATACGCATGCCGTGCCGTATATCGGCCGCGCGCAATGAGCCCGGGGGTACGCTGGCCGCATCAATGCCCGGGCCCTGATCAGCCCGGGCGTCCAGGGACCGCCGCAGACGATTGGTTCGGACAGCGGGAAATGGCTGGACTGACCTTTGTGCTACTGTTTTATGGTCTTTCAGTGACCACGGGTGGCGACTGCTGGCGACCGTTTGTCTGAACTGCACCCTCGGTCGTATGATAAAAAGCCCACCACCACCCCTACCCTAACCCAACGATTTATTCGTTTTTGATATCTCAAGCATTGGTAAGTTTCCATAGCGACGGATATTAATTTTGAAATGTCACTTTGACCTTTAATTCAGGTCAAAGCAATAACCAGCCCCCCATCGTTCAATTTTAAGAATTTGCTAGAAACTCTTAAAAAAAAAAGCCCTACAGTCCGAGTCAAGCGCTTCGCTCTGTTTCATCTGCCACAATCACAGTGGGCCCTGATTGTATCAAGCCGCCATTAAATATGGCGCGGGGTCACGTGACGAGTTTACGCGTCTTTAAGACTGAAGAGTTCCAAGATTAGATGCAAATGAGAAGAATTCAATAAATGATGATGCGAGGGCTGTTGCGAGGGTCTTTGTTAATCTCAGAAAAACAGAGGGCTCGAGTGGTCACCCCAGCTCATTGTTGACTCAACGGTTGCGGGCGGGGAGAATGGGGGGGGGGGGGAGGCACTAATGGCCGAGAGAAAGTGAATTTGTTTGATTGTCCGCATGAGAAAATGGCAGAGATTGAGCGAGTAATGAGTAACAAAATACTCATTTCATTTTAGTTATCTTCCCCTGTTTCTCGATGACGTCCCCTTACTAAGTAACGGTAACTCTGGTGGTTTGTTTTCACAGTAAACTGATGCGCAGGTTTTATATTGTTTTAATTATAGTTATTTCCCTTCGGACAGAAGGGGCGATAATTTCATCTATTGTCACGTCACCTTACAGCGCCGCGGGCTTAACCAACCAATTCCACCCTACAAAATTTTAATGGATTTCACCTCGAGTAACTTCCCTTGGCATTTGTTTTTTTTTATTGGCGTTCAATTAGTGAAATGAAATTAACGGTTCTTTTTGTTTGCCGGTCTTCGCGTGGAGGGGGCCGGACCGGTGATTGCTGCCCCTTTGTTTGTGCTCAATTATTTATCTTGTGATAAGGCCGAAAGGTGATTTTTATTCTCCCGGCAAAAGGACTCTTATGGGACTTGTAGTTAGATCTGTACACTTGGTGGGTTATATAGTCTTTATATAGTCGGCTCTGTAGTATTTTGGAGCCATTGACAAAAAAGGGAACCTAGCCTTGAGGTATTATATACATAATAGGAGCCACACCACCGCGAGCAGAGCCAAGTTATAACTGTAGATATGATCCAAGACGACTGACAGTATGTAGTATTTCATGTTCCACTATACTTTGATTGCCTAAAGGAAATATTTCCTAGTCCGTTTCCTGAATATTTTTTTCCCCCTGAGTGTTTATGTTTCTCCTTTTAAAAAATGAATTTCTTTTTTTTTTAATTATAAATTTTTAAACCCCAAACGGGAAGCAACTCTGTTTAAATAGTTTTCTTGTAACATTTTTTTGTCGAAATGTTAGCACGAAAGAAGAATTTTTTATTTTACTTTGGTAAATTGTTTGTTGTGGCAATATCTCATTTCTAAATTAAATAACGTCAACAATATTTATGCTGATTTTAAGAGTTCTTCACGTAATTCTTATTTTCAAACCAATTTCTATTTTACAACCCAGTAACTCAAAGCAATATAGTTTATGTTAGATGCCACTACAGTTTGTTAGCTTAGTTTGTAGGACTTCTATTTTTTTAATGGGGGAAAAAAAACCTCGAGCTTTTGCATGCTATGCTGCGCTGCGATGTTGCACACCAAAGTGCGAATTTGGACGGCTAAAAAAATTGAACAAAGGGACTGTTAATTGCTTTCTCTAATGGCTCGGCCTATTGCTTCAATGCGGGGTTGATAGAATCACGGAGAAGATGACGAGCTTCTGACGAGGGGAGGATGGAGAGGGGGGGGGGGGGGTTAATGAGAGGGAAGGGGGGGTGGGGGTTTAGAAACTGAAACAAAACTCCCACTTTAAAGATAACGATTTGATAGACGAGAAATGAAAGAGAGAGATCGATGGAAGAGATGTTGCATTCAAAGACCGAACGAGAAGGGGGCGATAACGACGGACAAAAAAAGGGTTGTGAAAAAATCCGCTTTCACAAGTTGAAAAGGGACATAATTAGGTCCATATTCTAACTGACCAAATAACTCATTATCTAGGGGCTTAAGGGAGGGTTGTATCCCTGTACGGGACTCGATAAAAGTCTATTGTGTTTGATTAAATTAATCCACTTTGTAGATTAGGGTGGTAATTAAACCTGGATGTTAACCGTACAGTAATTAATCCTGTAGCAATACTAAAGCGATTGAACCCTTGATAGTTATTAATTCCCCCCCCCCCTTTTTTTTAGATCTGGTTGTTGTGGCCCCTGTAAATTAACGTGTCTGTTTTAATGCGCATGCCTGTATGTAGTTGAGTAATAGGTATCACAGAACGTGGAATTTTCGCAACAAGTTGACATGGGAGCTTATCCGCCTTTAGTTATCTTCCCACGATTTTTTTTCTTATAATATTTGAAATGTCATGTCACGTAAAAGACCCTTACTTCAAAATATAACAATTTTTCTTTTTTTTCTTATCCATTTAAAATAAGCTTTTTATTCCCCCCCCCCTAGCTGTCCCCTGGATGGGGAGGGTCGTCTTGTTGGTGTGTGGTGGGAAGGGCTGTGGTTGTGGGAGGACGGGACGTATCCCCAGTCAAGTGCTAATTTAAAGCCCTTGAAAACTTACTCAGATCTCCCCCCAGTGCTTGTAGGGTGCTCCCTCTCTCGTGTAGTACACGCCCCGAGCCTACTCGAGCACCGCCAGCTCACGTTACAAGGTCACCCCTTGAAGCGAGTTGACAATGTTTATGTGTGAGACAAGGACCGTAACTCGCCCAGAACTAAACAAAAGCTTGGGTATTTCAGAAGTATGTTCCCCTCTCACCTTTACCCCATTGACATCTGTGTTGTCAGGCAGATCTGCTTCTCGTCAGCTCTGATCACTTGAAAAAAAACCCTCTCGCTGTAAACACCCTCGCCGCCTCCTCCTCCATTACACCCCCCGTTCATCAAGTATTCTTATATCAACTTGGATTTGCACTCAGAATCTTCACACAATACTTTTTCCCCCTCGTCTTCCTGCTACTCGTATCTCGCCTAGCCTGTGTTGTATCACCATCAGCTGGGGGTACGAGCGGGTGTCAGGCCATCATCTGTAGCGAGCTTTAACCGAGTGTCTACGCTGTAGATCAAGTGTTCTCAACCTTCATATAAGCATAGAACAGCAACCTTTGAGACTGTCATTTGTCCAAGTACACATCCAGCCTATTTTGTGTATATGTAGCCTTTTCTTTGTAGCCTTTTATGCTTTAGTACTTCAGATCTTTAACAATTTCATGCATAGGATGTGGCATTTTATTTTGCCATTTCACAAAGCCTTTTCATCGAAACCACCCAAGAACGCATACAGTATTTAAATTCATATTCTAAGAAGTACAGACTCCAATATATTTGCTTTTGTTTGAGATTTGATAAATACATTATATTAGCATTCCTGCTATGGCATTTAACACATTAACCTTTGACTTTTTACTTTGTATTAAGTTCAAGGTCACAGTACTTATTACAAATTAAATAGCGCATCTCAATGGGGGTGAGAGATCTCCTCTCAAATTTTACCCCCACCCACCCCTTTCTCTCTCATGTTTCTGTCCCCCCCCCCTTCGTCCCCCCCCCCCCCCACCCCATTGTCATGATGTCAAATCTGAGAACAAAGGATACATGTAAAGTTCTCTAAAGAGAGTCGAGAAGCGGAGAGGCATCAACCTTCCCGCCACCATCTTGAAAATTGAAAGAAGTTGACAACATCAGAGGTATCGAATCTCCAAAGTGGTATTAAATCCACTCTAAAAATTGGACGAAGGGGTGGGAATTCGGGCTGTGGGGGTAGGGGTTTGGGGGTGGGGGTAGAGATTTTAGCCTCTTGTCTCTGTCTAAAATCTCGGACAAGTTGTTAATTACACTTCTCGTCTCCTGTCTGGGTTAATTAAAGAAATGGAATTAGAGCCGGCTCACAGATGTCAATAATTGATAAGTGACGAGGTGGATGACGAGGGCGCTGATGAAGCAGCGATGTGTGCTGGTCGTGGCACAAATTGACCGGAGAGGCGAGGAGGTCGACCGTTCAGTGAAGGCATAACTTGGCCAAAGTAGCCGATAGATGGCCGTCTAGTAATGGCACAGCGTGGCCAAAGTTGGATGTAGATGGCTGTTCTGTAATAGCATAACTTGGCCAAAGTTGGCTATAGATGGCCATTCAGTCCTAGCATAACGTGGCCAAAGTTGGGGATAGATGGCCGTCTAGTAATGGCACAACGTGGCCAAAGTTGGCTATAGATGGCCATTTACTAGAATAACATGGCCAAAGTTGGCTATAGATGGCCGTCCAGATGACCCGGGTGGTCTATTCTTGTGGCACAAAATAGGGCCGTTTATTTGTCGAACTCCTTTTATATGTTACAACCGCCTTCTTCATCGATAACCTAACATAACTACACCATCCCCGGCTCCTCACACATCTGATTACAACCTTTTTTTTTAAACAACCTTTCCACCCCCTCTTAAGCACCATTCACATTTTCTAAATCAGACCGGTGTCTAATTAAAATGAATTATCTCCCCATGTCGCCATCTCGCTCATTCTCTCCCTTATTTCCTCTCCATCGACGCGACCCATTTTGACCCATTAGTTTATAATACCGGCCCAATTAGACCCGACTTCCTGGCATAGAGCAGCTCACCTTAACGCATCAGCTGGAGAATTTTCTACTCACTTTTCTTGGGATACAAGTTATATTTGATCTCAATGTCACAAGCCAGTGTATTACTGTATTCAACAGTTTCTAAAAATAGACGCGTGACAATGTTCTCCATATGTAGGCCTAATCGATGACGTATACCAGAGGCGTAGCGACCACTCCCGGCGCCCGGGGACAAACTTTCGATTTGCACCCCCCCCCCCCCTCAAACTTTCGATTTGCACCCCCCTCGAACTTTTCATTTGCACCCCCCCCCCCCTCAAACTTTCGATTTGCACCCCCCTTGAACTTTTCATTTGCGCCCCCCCTCGAACTTTCGATTTGGCGCCCCCCTAAGGTCGGCGCCCGGGGACATGTCTCCCCCCGCCCGCCCCCTCCCCCTCGCTACGCCTCTGACGTATACACCAGCACAAAGAATCTCACAAACCCTTTCGTCATTTGTCCAATCACATTGTATATATGACGTCATACCTTATCACCCGCCTATTAGAAAATTCGTTTTCAAATTAGCGATTCATAAAATATCCTTCCAAAAAAAAAACTTTATTATTATCAGCCTCGAGTTCTCTTTTCACTATTTTTTTTCCAGAGTAATCTCCCATTTCATGTTTATAATTGCTGACACAATTTTCCTCCTTCTCTTGCACTACTAAATTCCTCTAAACATGATCCCGCAGTTTGAAGAGGATGCTAAGAGAGGGAAGGAAGAAAAAAAAAAACGTGTCATTGTTGTTAGGACCGCTTTGTGCTGAGCTGTTGGGCTCACAATGACGTAGTCCACAGGGACACTCGTGATGACGTAGTCCACAGGGACCCTCGCGAGCTTGACGTTGATATGCGGCTCGTGTAGTGATATGCCTTTAATGATTGCCTTTAATCCCCCCTCGGCCGTTTTAATGAGCTGGACAGTTTTCTTGCGATAGCTTACGATGAATAGATAATTGGTCACGTGGGCTAGCTTCTAAGATGGAGTGTTAGAGATACCCGTTTTTTTTTAAAGTAAAGAGAAAAACTAGGGCATTGGAGGGTTTTCATCTGTCCTCATCTTTTTTTTTTCTCTTCTTAATTTCTCAGACTCTGAGAATGATCGCCCGTTACCTCTCACTCACACTTCACATGTTTCTGTCTTTAGGTGAAGCTTACTCTCACTCACACTTCACATGTTTCTGTCTTTAGGTGAAGCTTACTCTCACTCACACTTCACATGTTTCTGTCTTTAGGTGAAGCTTACTCTCACTCACACTTCACATGTTTCTGTCTTTAGGTGAAGCTTACTCTCACTCACACTTCACATGTTTCTGTCTTTAGGTGAAGCTTACTCTCACTCACACTTCACATGTTTCTGTCTTTAGGTGAAGCCACATTTATTCCCCCCCCCCCCCCCATCTATCCCAGCTCCAAAAATATATAGTCTTTATATGCATTATATACAACGTAAAGCTTCAAGTTAATATAAGCAATTGCTGTAGAGTTTATGAGCTTAGAGTTGCAACTGATTCAGTTCGCTAAATTTTATTGTAGAAAAAAAAATATGCATATTGTCTAGTTCATGTAAGTTATTGTTTAGCAAATTTAACATTTACATGATATAGATCTATGATCATAATGAATTATAATAATTGTATACATATATTTGTGCATAAAAACATGGGCGTACATGTTTTTGGGGTAGGGGAATTATATCTTTCTACTTATAAAAAACAAATTACGTTCCTAAATGCTAAACATATCTATTTTTAAACACATTGTAAGTTTATATTTTTGTGTGGCTATCTGCAGGCCCAGAGCAGACGACGATAATCGGCGAGCCGTGGTTCGTGTGGATGTTGGTGGGGACCATAGGCGGGACCCTGTGGTTGGCCCTGTGTGTCTTCAGCATCTGGTTGTGTCGGAGGAGGAAGAGAAACAAGAAGAAGAAGATGGCACAGAACGGGATGTACAGTGGTCAGTCACTTTTTTTTTTTAATTATTAGTGGGGAGTTTTGGTGGTGAAAAATATTTTTTGGGTCAATTTTGGTATAATAAAGCAATTCAGGAGTAGTTACTCTAGAAAGCTTTTGCAACCGATTGTATTTACACAGTTGCTTCCCTTTATATAAATAAAGAAATAAATTATATTTTCGTAGTTATTGCCCTTAGATCAACCGCTAATAAAACTGATGATTTTATTTTTTTGCTAAAATAGTTAGATTTTTTAAATTTAAAAAAAATTTAACTAAAAAAAGTGTGGGCCAAGAATGCAGCTGTCTTTATGTTGCAACCCTCAGCTGTGCCAGTCCACAAGTCAGACGAGTCGGCCAGGTCAGGGGCAGTAGTGACCAGGGAGGATGTCATGTACTCACACAAAGACGGCAACATACATGGTCAGTTTTTATCTTGTAGAGTTGTCTTTTCTTGTGGGGAATCATTAGTAACTGAGATTTCCATTTACAGTAACTTTATGCAAGTTGAATTTATCCTTCCACAACTAACATATTAGAGTTATCCTTCCCTAGTATTCTTGTTTATTAAAAAAACATTTTTAAAAACTATGATTTATGGAACAAAATTTTGAAATAATTTAGCTGGGAGTATACAAAAGCATAAATATTTGTCTTAACTTTCCCTGTGTACACCTCAGTAAATAACATTGTAGCTAGTGATTATAACAGCAAACATAGATAGTTTCACTAGATAGTTATAACTAGCTCTAGCTGCTTAACATGTATTTGTAATATCAAACTATCCTGCTGTCTCTTGACTTATCCTGCTGTTATCCCACTTACCTACTATTATCTATGTATCCTATTCAGTCATATAACCCATATTCTTATACTATATTATTGATTCTTTTATCCCTGATTTATCCTACTATTGCTGACATAATCAACTGATACAGACTAAGAAATATCCTACAATCATTGACATAACTTATATCCCACTAAGACTTATCTTACTATCCTAGACTTAGCATACTGATATATTCTCATATCACTGACTTATCCTGCTATGCTTGGAGTAACAAATACAAGGACATAGCTGTGTTAATTTTTGTATTGAACATAATACTGCTAGTGTTACATTCTTGCTTGACCCAAGTCCTTCAGTAGTTTTTAACATAGTTGACCTATTGGGCCTCTGTTACTATTGTATGGAGATCAGAAACTTCTATGCTGTAGAATTTGTCTTGTGCTCATATGGGTGGTGTTGCAGTCAATTTTCCTCTGGAAACAAATTGTCATTTCCTCAACAATAGGTCATCTGCTATGTCATGAAAAATAAAACAAAAATTTCAAACATACCAACATTTTTAAATGGGTGAATTACTGATACTGATTTTTAATTGATATTGTATGATTTTAATTTATCCAAATATTTATTTTAAAAAACCCAAGCGTAATTTGATTGGCCAAAAAACATATTTCCAACACTTATTTCAGCTGCATATGGTGGCCTGCAGTCTGACTTGGCCAGTCTGTTGGAGTGTGGCCACAAGGATGGCCTGGATGGCAGCCAGGTTTACAGTTCGGCCACCTCTATGCCACAGCTTAAAACCTTCTACCAACGGCCTGGGGCACCATCCTCTGTTGCCCCTTATGCTACCACCACCTTGATTAACAAGGGAGGCAACTCGGCCTCAAGACCTAGCCAGACTAGTGTAAGTTTCAGTTGCTTCCCCTGGTTCTGACAGCAATTTCAAATTTAAAAAAAATAATTCTCAAACATTTTAAAATAAATTTTCAAAGTTCTTATTTTTATAATTCTTTTTAAAAATAAGTAAAAGCTACATATTAAAAAAAGAATATTTAAAAAAAATTAATTACCTGAAATGTAAAAAATAAATCAGTTTTTTTCATTGTCTCCCTTCTGAACCCCCCAACAGGCCGCAGATTCAGGGTTTAGGCCTATCAATCACGCCTATGTCCACTCTAGCGCCAGTGGGTCAGGGGACAGTTGTCAGAAACCTGACATGCGCTCTAGCGACTCCAACACGGACAACTCTCGGCCCAACACAGGTCACTATTCCTATGGTATGCTTGCTTCTACTGACCAATTAACTCACTAATTAAATGTTGTGGGCTGCTGGCTAATTAGCTTGTATTTTTATTGTGGGATTGTTGTGGTGTTTTTTATAAGTGCAGGATTGTTGTGGTTTATTAACTTTTGGGAGTGTGAGGCAGGTTTTAAGATTAAGCTAACATATTGGAACTAATTCAGTGAAGTTTAATATGCTGGAATGGTGCAAGTTGAATTTAAAAAAAAATAAAATAACATCATGCTACTGAATGGATTTTTATTAATTTTTACATTAATTTTATAATTTTAACTTATAATAAAGCTAACCTAATATAACTTTTTTCATTTCTGGTGTTTCTAAATGGCAAATTATTATCGCTAACATGCTATTAATTTTTTACCTTAAAAAAAATAACAATCATAAAATTTTGCTCACTAACACTTATATCAGCTAAACATTTTTTCTTCTTCTTTTGAAAAAAAGTATTTCTTACTTTAAATGGTTATATACTATAGTTTGAGTATGTTAAAAACAAAAAATTTCCATCAAAATATCACATATATTTAGTTACAAGTTTGGTTCACTGGGAAGAAAGCAAATGCTTTGTCAGGCAACTTGGTTGTGAGAAATGTTAGAAATGCTCAAATCTTCATCTAATGCCAGTCTGTCTGGCTAATGAGTATAGTTTAGGCTGGTACTGCCTATGTTAAAGGGAGAGAGAAAGCTAAAGAAGAAACTAGTGTTTTTCTCATCTGATGTTTGATTCGGTCTTGTCTTTTTTAGCTGCTGGCTGTCCCCATGAGCACTGTGAGGGTTTGGTCAGTCCAGGTAGTGACAGTGGTAGCTTGACCACAGGTGAGCATTAGATGTCTTTTCTTACTCTACCAGTATTAACTGTTTGAGGAAATTAATTAAAACTTAACTAATAAATCAGATGACTGAAGCGAATAAAATGTGTACAAATGAAAATCTGAGAAGGCTTTTATGAAAATGACTTTAAGTATATGAAAATGATGAGAATAATATAAATATTATAGACTAATAAGTCAATGATTTTTCCAGATGAGAATGGAATGCCAGTCAAGCGGAACAAGTACACAAAAATCGGAGCAGGAAGCTGCGCCAGCTGTGGCCAAGGGAAGCAACCCATGGTCAACTGGGCAGAGCTGCTCCCCCCACCACCTGAGCACCCTCCTCCCAGTGAGCTCGGCTCCCCGGCTGACCACTCTGGTGAATGCACGCTCCACCGTCACAACAGCAACATCGCTGAGACCAGGTTCATGGACAACAGAAGCCCGATATCTCCAGTCTCCAAGATATCGTCCTGTTCCTGTCCTGTTCCGCATGACCGAATGGTCCCCCTACTGCGCCCCAATATACCATACTCTGAGTTAGATTACCCCACCCACCCAGGCTCCGCCCATGCTCGTTACCACAGCGACATGGCAGGGTACCAAGACGGCAGCGGGGGCAGTGCAGGAGGGGGGAGCGGGGGTAGCAACTACAACTCGGACAGGCCCTACTCACCCAAGCAGTTGAACACCATGCGCACTCAAACGGACATGCACAGGTGCCAGTCACCTCGCTCCTGCCACAACTGCGGCAGCAGCCTGCCTCAGTCTACAGGGCCGGCGCCATCTTCATCCTCCTCATCCTCATCGTACAACCCCCACATCCACCACCACCACCCGCACCACCCCGACGCTTTTGTGACTATAAACCAGCGTCCTCCGTGCATGGGTGACCTCGCTGACCAGAGGGGCGGTGTCTATCCGCAAGTAGCAGGGTACCCCCAGGGGCAGGTCTCAGCACCATTCTCACAGACGGGTGCCGGACAGTGTCCATACAACCCCAACTACCCGTACCCTCCCGCGGCGCTGCACGGGTACCGGATCCCACCCATTGAGTCCAATGACCAGCGGAATTCAAGTGACCTTGAGCAAGTTCAAGGTCGAATGTACCCACCTGGGCATGACGGCCCTCACATGGACAGGGCTTGTCAGTCCTCACTGCCCAGTCTGGGCGCTGGCTATGGCAGAAGGTGAGTACCACAGCTGACCAGTGGTCATTACTTGTCAAGTAAATAGAATCATGGAGTAAATAGAATCTTAAAGTCAATTCATCTCTCCATGGGATGGGAGGGGGGTGTAGAAGTAGGGTACTGCCCTCCTCCCATTACCAACCCCTTTCCTCCCCACCAGACAAATTAGAGCAATAATTAATTTATATAGAAAATACAGTTTAACTAGTGTCTAACCTGGGATTCATTACCAAGAGATATGTAAAAATAAATCAAAATAAAATTAAAAAAAAAAAACACTCGTATTATTAAGTAAATTATGCATGAAATAAACTTAATAAAAGCATCAAATTGTATAATATTGAATCCTGTGTAATCCTAACCAGGCCGGAGTCACCGACATCTGAAGGAGTCCCTGACTACGCAGGAGAGTCAGACATGGATGTCCACCGGGCAACTGACTGCCACACACCTGACTCCAGCGTCAACGGGGACGGCAGTCTCTCAGGTACGCTTGCATGCAGCAATCAGATTCATACTTGCCCAGTTTGATCTTAGCTATTACTAATAGCTGTATTTAGCAATATAACACCTGTTAATTGTATTCACTATTGCTTTTTTAATTATTTTTTTTTATTTATATTTAGACAGCTTTCTTATGTTTTTATTAGCAATTTATATTTATTTTAAAATTAAATTGGCAATATGTCAAGTGCTTCTAAAAATTAAATTTGCTTAATTTTAATGCTAACAGACTGGTTAATGAATTGACTGGCTAATGAATTGACTGGCTAATGAATTGACTGGCTAATGAACTGACTAGCTAATGAAGAGACACCTGAATAGCATGGAGCCTTTGGTCAAATTTCACACCATATTTCCTTAATATTCTCATCACGTCATAAAATATAAAAAATAACTTCAGTTTACTAAAATTATAACAATATAACGTTAAAAGTTAGCTTTCATTTTTGCACAGAATATAAATTCACTTTAATTTCATTTTTTTTTAGCCTTTCTTGCCTAGCTTAGACTTGTAGTATTTTATAAATAGCTTCCCTTAGTATGATTTTATTGATTAGCTCCCCTTAATACAATTAGCACAATTGCTTTCTTTTCCTGTTTGCTTTAACTAAAACAGCTTTCTCATAGAATGCTTTTGCAATCGTCCCCAGTTTGTACACCTGAAAAAAAAATAACACGAGTGCGTTGATACTAACACATCATTTACTGCAGTGTATTCTGTAAAACACTTAATTTCTTGTAGTAGATGTAGATCTTTTATGCCCATTGATTTAAAACAAGCTACTGCTGATGTGTTTTACTTTAAACATATAAAAATTAACTTCTTAACTAATACAATTACTTAAGAAAAAATATTTTAATTATTTTAAAATTACTTTTTATAGGAGTAGTTAAACGCAGTAGTCTAGTAGTTTAAACTTTTTCTTGAAATTAAAAAAATAATACACTCTAACAATAATGAACTAATAATACAAAATCATCCCTAACCCCTCCCTTCATATGTCACTGCCCGGTTGACCACAGGCTCCATGTTAACAGGGTGGCCAAGTCAGACAGACTCTGACGAGGTCAGTCACGACGAGGTCAGTCACGACGAGGTTGACTTTCATGAACAAATTGATGACATCAGTAGCTCATCTGACTCCTCCTTTCTGGCAGATACTGATTTTGCCTCGGCCGTGGCCAGGGCAGCTGAGTTGTCCGGCATGACCGTGGTGGGGACGACAGTCTCTGACCCTAAAAATAGTGAGTGCTGTTATATATTTATTTATATCAGATCATTGAAAACACATTGATATTTCAGCTGATTATGCTTAAAGGGATAAATCAGACAATAGAAAAAACTTGATATTATTATTTAAATTTAATGTCTATAAATGTTTTATTTATTAAATACCTATCAAACAAACTAACTAAGTTTGTTTGACAAGAGGATATTAATAACTATTTTAATACATTTCGATTAAATATTGAACTAAATATATAATGCAGCCTTTCATTAAAACAAATGATTATAAAATGTGTTTTATCAGGATGATAAGAATAATATTAATTAATCTTAATTTAATTAGTTATTTATTTATTAAGAATCTTTTTGAGAAGGCTTTTACATAAGTATATAAATTAATGTTAGCTAGATTTTTAATTAGTTCACTTTATCAGGCAATAACAAAAGTATGTAAATTATTGTAACTAGGCCAATTCATTGTTGTTCACCAGGCTAATTAATTTGTTTATGTACCAGGCAATAATAAGATTATTTTAATTAATGTAGTTAGGCTAATTAATTTGTTTGTGTACCAGGCAATAACAAGAAGTACAGAAAACATCGAGCCCCTCCCCGGGCACAAAGCCCCTACAGTACAGACAGCAACATGAGTGCTGTCGTCCACAAACCCTACCCCAAGTCAGAGAGGAAAAAACAGCTGATGGAGCAGGGTGAGTGTAAGTCATATGTGTTGGCCCAGTCATCTGGGTCATTGTTAGCCCAGTCATCAAAGTCATTGTTGGCCCAATCATCTGAGTCATTGTTGGCCCAGTCATCTAAATCATTGTTGGCCCAGTCATCTGGGTCATTGTTGGCCCAGTCATCTAAATCATTGTTGGCCCAGTCATCTGAGTCATTGTTGGCCCAGTCATCTGGGTCATTGTTGGCCCAGTCATCTGAGTCATTGTTGGCCCAGTCATCTGGGTCATTGTTGGCCTAGTCATCTAAATCATTGTTGGCCCAGTCACCTGAGTCATTGTTGGCCCAGTCATCTGGGTCATTGTTGGCCCAGTCATCTGGGTCATTGTTGGCCCAGTCATCTAAATCATTGTTGGCCCAGTCATCTAAATCATTGTTGGCCCAGTCATCTAAATCATTGTTGGCCCAGTCATCTGAGTCATTGTTGGCCCAGTCATCTGGGTCATTGTTGGCCCTGAGTCATGTGAGTCATTGTTGGCCCAGTCATCTGAGTCATTGTTGGCCCAGTCATCTGGGTCATTGTTGGCCCTGAGTCATGTGAGTCATTGTTGGCCCAGTCATCTGAGTCATTGTTGGCCCAGTCATCTGGGTCATTGTTGGCCCTGAGTCATGTGAGTCATTGTTGGCCCAGTCATCTGAGTCATTGTTGGCCCAGTCATCTGGGTCATTGTTGGCCCTGAGTCATGTGAGTCATTGTTGGCCCTGAGTCATTAAAGTCACTGTTGGCCCAGTGTCTTCAAAGTCATTGTTGGCCCTGAGTCATGCGAATCATTCTCGGCCCCATCATCTGTGTGAATGTTAGGCCTCAGTCACTGCAAGTCTTTTGTTAACAAAGTTTGCTGTTGGCACTAAATTTCATTATTAAATTTGCTAATTTTGCACTGTAACGAGGTAGTAGATGCATGACAATGACTTATGTTACAGGTAAATGTTTGTATAAACCTGGTATGTAAAAAAATAGGAGAGTGAAGTTTTTAATTAAGAATTGATGTAAAATAAAAACTACCCAAACATTATAATTAATAGGCGTTTTCCTATTTTCAGCAAGAAAATATGGACAACGAAAAGATGGAGGCATGCAAGATTTAGAGATAGAGGAAGGCGGTAGGTTTCATCTTCAACTTCAAATTTTCTTCATCTAATGCACTTCATAGCTAGAAAAGCCAGTGCATTATTATATTGTTACTTCCCCTTGCACATTACTTTGCTTCATCTAATCTTAGAATTTTTATATTAAAATAACATTCTTATACTAATAACAAAATGTTTAATTTTTAAAATCATTTCAATTCTCTTTTTTTTTGTTGAAATAATTTTTTTACATTGGTTTTAAATATAGTTTTAGCTCCCCCCCCCCCCCCATCATTAATTCACTAACATCTAGGTTAGTTTGGCCACCCAAAATTTTGTAAAATAAATTAAAACTCACTAAATAGCATGATATTTATCTACATATCATGATTCTACTAAAATATTAAGAACTGGTAATAAGACTTTTATTTGATTTAGATTGACCTGTTTATGCATTTTTTTTAAACTCACCAAATGTATCACTGCTTCATCCCCATCAAATGCTTTAATTAACCAGCACATTAATTAACCAGCACATTTTTTTTTTTTGCTTAACCCTTTGCCGTCTGCCTGTCCTCACAGAGCTTGACCTGCCTGCCTACCACAGACCCTTCTACCCCACCCTCCCTCTTTACCACAATAACGGTATGATCCGGTCAGGGCACGCAGGTGACCACAGAGCACCTATGCTACATTTTGAGATAGGGAAAGAGGTGTATGCTAGCCCCACTTTCTCCACCCCCCAACCTTCCACCCCTACTAGATCAGTGGCCTCGGCCGCTACCCTAAGCTCAACAGATGTAAGTATGTGATCACCATCATATAACTAGAGCTTTGTTTTATCACCATCATTTACCTAGACCCTTGCTTTGTTTACTAACATTATCCCTTTTACTCACATATTAGTTACTTAATCAGCTGAGTCAACTTTTGGGGCTAGAGGTGGTGGCTTAAATGTGCAATTAGCTATTCATGTTAGTATTTAAAATGTACAGTATACACATTCATTGTTGTTAGTATTTTAAAGTTTTATTTTAAAATTTAGATCATATAAATGACACATGCCTCAATGTTAATAAATTAAATTTTTTAACTACAAGGTTATAAGGTTAATCAGAACATGAAAAATAAAGGCTTATAAATGACATTTAAATATTTTAAAAATTTATTGATTTGGATAACCACTAGTAGTATTTATGATTATCTTAATACTTCACTTAGTTGTTTTAAGTTTTAGATTAGTATGAAGTAGTACAACAATCATTGAATTTAAATGCTCTACTAATTGCTTTCTCCCTGCTTAAATGCTAGTTACTTCCCTTACCTAACTGCATAATTAAATGATTTATGTAACCTTCTACATGACAAAAATTCACTAAAATATCTGGATTATTTTTATATGCATCAACAATTTCATATTAAAAAGTAAAATCTTGCACTAAATATTTATAACATTCTTGCTGTTCATTGATTTGTAATGTGAAATAAAATTTTTTATAGTTAATTTTTTTTTACTTTCTCTACTAGATCCCAATAATATGAACACATAGGAAAATCAACACAAAACAATGAGACAAAGCAACTCAGGGCCAGCTACTCTGATCTCATGCTATCCAAGGGAAAAAAAAACTCAGCAATTTCAACGGGTTTTTAAAAAAAAGGGCTCTTAAGAAAACTGGATTTGTAGTTTCCTAAACTCAAATACTTCTGTTTCAAATTTGTCAGTAGAGATTCAGAGATGGAATATCACTAATCGGCTTTCAGTTGACATAATCACAGAATAAAACTGGGAAATTCAATAATTCAGTCAAATTCAACCACAGAATGAGGCAGGGTGAGTGAATTGTGAATTCTGATATGGATGTGAATTCCTCATAAGAAATGAATGGATTGTTTTTAAGAGAACATTATGCATAAGTATGTGTGTGTGTAGACAATGAACTAGTGAACTTTCTGGCCAAATTTCTGCAGCCAAAATTTAAAAACAAACTAAACAGGATTTGGCCATGCAAGGGAAGTCACTGGGTGTTTAATCTGAAAGATCAGTCAGCTGGGTTCTATACACAAGAGAGACAACTCTAATTATCAACACTTGCAATATTTTTATGTGATATAAACAAATTAATTATTCACTATTGAATTTATATGATGTAAAATGATATTTTTAAAAATTGAATTTATATGCTGTAAATTGCGTTGGTTTCTTTTAATGAATACATTGTGTTAGTTTACATATAAACTGGAGCTTGTGAGTCAATGAGTGTATGTGCGAGAGGTAACTCACAAAAAAAAATGTTTCTTCTTCGTGTATTATCATTAAAAAACTGGAATACATATATATAACCACCCTTGTTAAGTTTTGTTAACATGTTGGAAGAAAGAGGACATTTTTGTTAACTTCCATTTTTATTTTCATTTCATTCCTCCATGAAATATGAATATGTCATTGTCATGCAAAAACAACCTCCACTATACTATGCCACTTGTATAATCATGGTAAATATATAAGTTTTGTTTTTGGTAGTTCTAGTTCCATGTTTTTATACAACCCTTTCAATCAATGATGTCTTTAACTCCAGTTTTTATTTTATTTTTTTTTATTTTTAAAAGCAAAGCTGGTGGTGAAAGACTTAGAACATGTTACATGAAGTTTCGAACCAACAAACTACTTCACTTGTGTGTTTTTATTGTTTTGTTGTTTCCCATAGCAACCTACATAATATGCATGGAACTGTCAGAACACACGGGCAGTGATATTATTTTTCATGGATAATTCAGAGGTGTTAATTAAATATGTTTCTGATATTTTAATAAAGTCCTCTATTACCGTAGATGTGGCTGAGTTTGAATATAGTTTTTATTATGCAGTTTATGAAATTTCAGCTAATAATAGATATTTTCTCTCCTAGAAAAGTTGTAAATATCTTAAAATAAAGAGAACTGGTAAAAAGGGACATAACTGTGTTTGTACTTACTTGAGTATTTTTAATACTTAAGTCCCTTGGCTTGTAAGTGCTGAGAAAAATTTCAAATGGGTAAACAAAAGATATCTCTTTCCCTCCTGCATTTTTTTTTTTTACTTTTCACATAGTTATGTATAATGTCAAACTACTGTTGTGTACATTGATGTCAGATGATGTGTACTACGATGACATGTGCACACTGGTACATGTGTTGCGTACACTAAGCAGAATGTGATGTAGGTGTGTAGCTTGCTTGTGTCAGTAGATAAAAAGGTCTAAATCAACTCTTGCCACTTTTCACATTTAACATTTCAAACTTATGACATCAGCGTGACACTCACATATAAATATGACACTGACGTCACTAGGCCAGTGTTTTAAACAAGTGACTGTCACATGCCAAATAGGCCAATACTCGATACCTCTAAAATAATGTCACAAGAGCCAACCATTTCCTCCATATATAATATAAAGAATTGTTTTTATTATTTCTAAAAATCTAAAATAAAATTTAGAAAATAAAATGTTTTTATATTATTCAAAACAACTTGTAGATGTATAATTCACTATTATTTATTTGAAAAAGATTTTGCTTGAATGAAATCCATTTTTACAAAAATTCCATATTGAACAAAAACAATATCCCATGATGCAACTGTAACATTTGTATTTTAAAGTTTCCTGTCCTGTTTTTGAAGCTCAAAAACTTGTTTGTCCAGATCTTTTTTCTACTGGTTGCCATTTTAAAAATGTAACAGTCAACAATTTCAGTTGTGTAAATAGCGTCAATTGTGTACATAGCTAATGGCTTGCTTTTATGTAACTATTGTATAATAAATAATTTATTCAACATAGTCTTACTGTGACTTAAATCTTTAAAAAAAAGTCATAATTCAAATACATTTATAATTTTGGTACATTTATAATTAATTTTGGTATGGTTAAAGTTTTTAGTGAATTCATTATTTAGGTCAGTTCATTAGCCTATAGAAAAATGCACTGTTTTTATTTTGGTTTAGTTAGATAAAATGTTTTGTTGTCTCATTATCTTAAATGTGAGGTCATATAACAGTTTAGGTATAGAGAGTATCATTCATCTATAGAATACATTTTACCATAGTTATGCTAGCATTTCACTTCATTGAAATTCTTCTTGCTCCCATAATGAAGCAGGCATTCTTAAACTGCAGACATTTTATTATTGCATTGCAGCAGACATTAATGTTCTGAAGACAAATTTGATCTGCACCATCATACCAAGAAGACGTCAAGAAAATCAGACATGATGTAGTTTAGCTAGGGTCAAAGTTTGACCAACTGGCCAGTCATAACATCTTGCCATTGGTGTTAAGCTGTGGGGGGCTTCACCTCATGATCTTGTTCAATTTTCCTACTTTTGGTTTCACAATGTGCAACGTTAGAGAGCTTACCTTAGGCTGTAGAAGACAGGTGCATCTAATGCTAGTATAAACAGGTGTGTCTAAGGTTCTTAGACAGGTGTGTCTAATGCATAGGGGTGGTGTGTCTCAGACTAGCATAGCCAGTTTATTGCCAGTTAAGAAGGTGTGTCTAAGACTACTATAGACAAATGTGTCTATTGCTAGAATAGGCAGGTTTGTCTAAGGGTAGCCTAGACAGATGTGTCTAAGGCTAACATAGAGAGATATGTCTAACTCAATCTAAGACTACCATAGACAAATGTGTCTATTGCTAGAATAGGCAGGTTTGTCTAAGGGTAGCCTAGACAGATGTGTCTAAGGCTAACATAGACAAATGTGTCTATTGCTAGAATAGGCAGGTTTGTCTAAGGGTAGCCTAGACAGATGTGTCTAAGGCTAACATAGAGAGATATGTCTAACTAAGGCTAGCATAGACAAAGGTGTGTCTTGTTTGGTTCAACCTTGTACAGTCTCCATCTGTTGATTCATGTCATGTGCGTTTATCAATGTATTGATTCAATAAATAAAGCCATTGTTACATTTTACACACGTTTCTTGCCTTGTGTTTTCAAATTTCTTGCCTTGTGTTTTTAAATTTCTTGCTTTGGGGTTTTAACTACAAAGCAGCCAGCAACATGTTAAACTGGTTGTTTATAAGAAAAATAATCTTTAACAATCCATTGGGCAGATGAAGTAGAGTTCATGTTTCTTGACCTCAGCATATGAAAGGAAGGTGTGGTCAGCACTTTGCCCAGTCACATTTACTTTCCCTAACGTGAGTTAGGTACCCATCAGAGCTGGGTTGACTCAGGGACTTCTTCTTCATTCTTAGGATACGTGTCAACTGGTTATGCGCCATTGAGGCCATTGACTCCGATTTCAGCCTGCTTTTCTTTTTGGATTTGCTTCCATAGCCTTTGTCCAACCAAGAACAAACTACAAGGCAGCAGTTGTTTGATTTCGGAGTTGTCTCTCTTAGAAAAGTGGCTGTCCCAAGCTAACGAGCCTCATCTGCCTAACGGTTCGAACTCGAGACTTTTCGGTTTAGCAACCTTGAGCTTTACCGACTCGACCACGTTGACCCCCTTCTCAGGGACATTCTACTGAATTGGACCCAGATTCAAACTCAAAGACTTTCAAGTTAGCAGCCTAGCACTCTACCGCTTAAGCCACACTGTGCCATTGGTTGCACAGCTGCTCATCCCCCATGTAATATTATTCTCATTTAAAATTCCTTGATACAAATATATTAAAAAAATAAACTATTTATATTCTTCAAACAATTGACTCAACATATAATTTTATTGAATCCTTAAGCCAAACTATAATCATTATCATAGAAAGATATATTTGGAATAGGAAACTGATAAAATGGATATTATGCATATGTTGAACATTTCCTATACCCTGTATACAATTAAACAAGATTGGCATCTTTAGCCATTCCATAAAACAAAGAACTTTTGTTCTCTAGCAGGTTGGTTGGTGAATCCATTTCTTTTATCTCACCTTGGTCTAGCACCATGATCCTGGCAATAACAAACATTTTGCAATCATTAATTTATCAGTCACAATCAATAATTTAACAATCACAATCAATAATTTAACAGTTTAAATCAATAATTTAACAGTTTACAATCAGTAATTTAATAAACAGTTCACAATCAATAATTTATCAATCACAATCAATAATTTAACATTTCACAATCAATAATTTAACAAGCAGTTCACAATCAATAAGTTAACAATCTTAGTTTAACAATTTTAAGCTTATATTGTGGTAAATAAAGACAAATTCTAACTTTATATCATGTTAAACAAAAACAAATTCTAAGTTTATATCACGATAAATAAAATAATGAACAAGCCAGTGTTGTCAACTAATTTATCCAACTATTTTAAGTTAAAAAATTATACAAAAATGAGAATAAAGAAAATCAAAAGCTGTGTCATAGAACACAAATCTATTCCATCGCTATATAAATAATCAGCTACAAAATAACAATAATATCTCATAAGCAATACAATAACCAACTTTGTCTATTTTTACAGGGATTTATTTTTATTCAGTATTAACTCTTAAAATCCAATCTTTTCAAGTTACACAATTGGAATGAACAGGCCAATAGTGAAATTTATTTTTCTATAACAGTTTTGCAATAAATTAACAACAAAGAACAGAAAAATGTTGCTCTAGATAAAAAAAAGAAGTATTAAAATTATTAATTCATAAGCCTACACTACATTTCAAAATCCAATTGTTTCCCATAAATGTATCACATACTAAAACTTATTGCAGAAATAATGAAACATCAAGCAGTCAAGGATTAACAATGATTTAAATAAACTATATCCTAACTTACACAAATCAGAGCCATACTACTAACTTATTTTCTATTCCCAAATCATGTAGCCTGCAGAGAGTTACATTCATTTAATATTTGATAGTTATCATTAATATTGTATTGGACAGGTGGCGCACTGGAAAAACCTTTAAAAGATTTTTCTTCCATTGGAGAATTATTTTAAAATAATAAGATCTAAAGCACAATTAAATTAGCAGCTGGTGATTGTCCACGTTTTATAGAATAATAAAACAAATATTGAAAAAAATGTTTACATTTCATAAGCCATGATTTGAGTCAGAATTGAGACCAAAAAAATTAAAGGATTACTAACCTGTCATAGTCCATGATAGTGTTGAGTCTATGGGCAATGGTTAGCACAGTGCAGTCCTTGAACTCTGTCCTAATTGTCTTCTGTATAAGGTCATCAGTTTCCATATCAACAGCTGCAGTAGCTTCATCCAGCACTAAAATTTTGGTTTTACGAAGTAGAGATCTGGCTAGACAAACAAGCTGCCTTTGGCCCACACTGGAAAAAACATATCACAACTTAATATTTTGCTTTAATTAATTTTTTTATATTAAATATAAAAAATAATTTTAATTTATTTAGAATAAATGGGTATTTATTTTTTAACATATGTTTTACACACTGAATCAGGTAGGGTAAATGTGGTTGCTTATATCAGAGATATTTGATTGGCTTTCTTAAATTATAATTTACAGACCATCCTTAAATTTACTATACCTCAGTAGTAATTTTAAATATTATATACCTCAGTAGTCATTTTATATATAATATGTCTCAGTAGTCATTTTATATATATAATAAACTTCAGTAGTAATTTTAAATATATACCTCAGTAGTCATTTAAATATTATATATACCTGGGTAGTCATTTAAATATTATATATACCTGGGTAGTCATTTAAATATTATATATACCTGGGTAGTCATTTAAATATTATATATACCTGGGTAGTCATTTAAATATTATATATACCTGGGTAGTCATTTAAATATTATATATACCTGGGTAGTCATTTAAATATTATATATACCTGGGTAGTCATTTAAATATTATATATACCTGGGTAGTCATTTAAATATTATATATACCTGGGTAGTCATTTAAATATTATATATACCTGGGTAGTCATTTAAATATTATATATACCTGGGTAGTCATTTAAATATTATATATACCTGGGTAGTCATTTAAATATTATATATACCTGGGTAGTCATTTAAATATTATATATACCTGGGTAGTCATTTAAATATTATATGTACCTGGGTAGTCATTTAAATATTATATATACCTGGGTAGTCATTTAAATATTATATATACCTGGGTAGTCATTTAAATATTATATATACCTGGGTAGTCATTTAAATATTATATATACCTGGGTAGTCATTTAAATATTATATATACCTGGGTAGTCATTTAAATATTATATATACCTGGGTAGTCATTTAAATATTAAACAAGGAAACCCATGCAATATTTGCTTCATGAAGCAAGGGTCAGTTTAATTAAATTTACCTCTTTATAAAAATTAGCAGTTTTAAATTTTTTCCCCCTGACCTTAAGTTTTGTCCCCCTTCTCCACATTCATAAGACAATCCACCTGAAACTTCCTCCACAAATGTTTTCAGGTGAGCGTGTTCAAGAGCCTGCCATATCATGGCATCAGAGTAGGAATCAAAGGGGTCAAGGTTCATGCGCAGTGTGCCAGAAAATAATACAGGATCCTGCGTGGGTTGAAGAGTGCAAAATATTAATGTCAGTAGGGCAGTCACATGATTGATATAAAAAGAAAATAATCCTTGGTGGATTGAACAATTACATAATATCAATATTAGTTTTTCTTTTAAATAGAGGTAAAGAAAAACATTTTGCCATGGTTAATTTCATAAACATGAATAAAAACCTAATTGGTAATCAAGTTAGTATAACTGTTGAATCAATACTCTCTAATGTTAACTTTTACAAATGCTCATAATACACAACTTATTTATTTTTATAATAAATTGTTTATATTTATATTTTATCAGTTGAAGATTACCTGTGGTAAAATGGTGATCTTTGACCTGAGGTCATGCAGCCCTATGTCACTAATGCTGGTGTTGTCTATCACAATGCTACCACTGGCAGCTTCAATCAAGCGGAACAACGCAACTGTCATTGAAGATTTTCCAGCTCCTGTTCTGCCGACAATACCCACCTAGAGAAAAAATTTAAAACAATTTAACCAGGTTAACTCTGTTTAATTTTATAGGCAAGTGAATAAAGTTCAATGCTACTAGCATGTTTACTGTTTAAGTTCTGTGTAACTATGTTAAGTGTAGATAAATAAAGTCTAATACTTGTAATGTATGGAGGTTACAACTACTAACTCAAAAGTTTGAGTCTGGAGTCTGTATAACATCTGTAAGTACACCCAGCCCTAATGGGTACCTGACACATTCATTAGGGAAACTAAGTTAGCAGGGTAAAATGCTGACCATGTTATTCCCCTTATGCCGAGGTTACTGAAGATTAACTCTACTTCGGGGGTGTGGACCGCTCCCAATGACACCAAGACAAAAAATTGAAAAATGTTAAGTAGAAAAATGCTTTTTTCAAATTTAATTAATGAATAATTAGAGTTAAAAAGTCTTTTTAAGCACAAATCAAAGATTCCAATATGGGGGAGGGGGTGACACCTGAACATAAACCTGTCAATTAAACCAATTTTACATACAGCTATATATATATATATATATATATATATATATATATATATATATATATATATATATATATATATATATATATATATATATATATATATATATATATATATATATATATATATATATATATATAAATATATATATATATATATATATATATTTATATATATATATATATATATATATATATATATATATATATATATATATATACATATATATATACATATATATATATATATATATACATATATATATATATATATATATATATATATATATATATATATATATATATATATATATATATATATAAATGGGGGTGACACCATTAGGTGCTGCACCGGGTGACACTCGAACGACACCTCTGCTTCATCTGTCCCATGTATCTTGGGCAGCAAGGGGGTAAAACTGACAATGGCTTCTAAAGAGCTTAACATTAAATTTTCATTTCACCAAAAATATTTTAGGAAAATGTTAACCTTTTCGCCACCTTTGATCTCGCAGTTAAGACCTTTCAACACCAAATCTAAACCAGGTCGATACCTGGTCTTGTAGTTGATAAAACTAACTGCACCTTCTTGGGGCCAACTGGCCAGTGGCCGCCTAAATGGGTTAATCCAAGCAGCCTATAATAAAACATGTAGAAATCCAAATTATGGATTATATAGACATTATAGGTCCTACACTTTAAATATGATATTACATTTTCTCACTGATCTGTTAAAAATAGGAGTTACCAAAGATAAAAAAAATGATATATATATATGGATAAAATTATTTAATCAGCCAGAGATATATATAATTACATTGGTTATATTAAACATAATTGATTTACTAAAAATAATAATCATATTTATTTTCAAAATAATTTATTTTTAAAAGAATAAAAAAAATTTAATTTCAAAGTAGAAAAATTAAAAGAATGTAGGCCTAATGCAAAAAATACTACTGTCAAATCTGAACTTTGTAAATGTAAAAATATTTTTTATGCAGATAAAATCTAGCCTCTGAAAAAGTGTTAACAGAGATTTAAAATGTCTAACCTGAAAAAGTGTTAACACATATTTAAAATGTCTAACCTCTGATGGAGTCTCTGTGTATCCTTTGATCCTCTCCACAGCTACAATGTTTGTTTCTAGGTCAGAGGTCATTCTAACCATCCAGTTCAACCCACCAGTAACCTGTGACAAATAATATTTTTTTAAATATAAAATCTCTTGCTCCATTCACAGCCAATTTGTATATTTGTTTTTGCCTCAGAAAAAATGGATGCACCCAATGAAGTGAAATCCTAAAATTGTGTACCAGGGCATTAGATGAATATGAGCAACCCCTAATCTAAATATAAATTACATTTGGAACCAATGTCAGCATATTGGGCAATGTTTTAATATTTTATTGTTTCTATGGAATATAAATGATTGAAAGATTCTACCACATGTCTACACTCTACTAATGTCCCTTTGAAATATTTTACAAATTTATTGAAAAAAAAAACAGGCAGAATTACCTGCAGAGCATAAGAGACAGATAGTCCCACCAAACTAGCACTGATATCTTCTGAGACCACAGCAAACATAGCAGCAGCCAGCACCACAATGTTACCAAGGAACTCCAGCCTAGTGGCCAGCCACCTGGGGAAATAAATCACTTGAAATAAATTTTTCTTTACAAACTGTTTTTAAATACCATCACATTGTGTGGAATAGGTTTCTTTAGTTTAGTTCTGAAAATTTTACAGGCTAAATTTTAGGTAAAAAATTCTGATTTTTTTTTTTTGTAATATGGTATATAGGCTGTGTGATGAAAATACCACTGTAGCTAACCTGTTGGATGCAATCCCACCAAAGTAGAAGACCAGATTTTTATCCACTCTTTTCTGTGACTCCTCTTTAAATCTTGTAGTTGCTTTATAAGCTCTGGAATGTGGGCCAATAAGTAAGAACAAAAGCTTTAAAAAATACAACAAGTTAACATATTTAAAAGAAAAACAAAGTAAATGAAAAATGATCATGATTTAACATATTTCATTTTAATATTTTTATATAAAATTTAACTATTAAAAAACACAATATTCACATATGGAAAGCAAACTATATTTATTAAAAAGGTAAAAAGCAAAGAAAAGTTTTCAATACAATTTAGATAATAAATAGTTGTAAATTTGTAAAATATTACAGAAAAGATGACTATCTTATACAAAATGTTAACACATCAATATGGCAAGCTTTTATATATTTTAATGTGACTACATTATACACTCTGTTAACAAGTAAATATGACTACCTTATATAAACTGTTAACAAGTAAATATAACTACCTTATATACAGTGTTAAAAGTAAATATAACCACCTTATATAAAGTGTTAACAAGTAAATATAACTACCTTATATACAGTGTTAACAAGTAAATATGACTACCTTATATAAACTGTTAAAAAGTAAATATGACTACCTTATATACACTGTTAACAAGTAAATATAACTACCTAATATACACTGTTAAAAAGTAAATTTGACTACCTTATATACAGTGTTAACAAGTAAATATGACTACCTTGTATAGCCTACACTGTTAACAAGTAAATATGACAACCTTATATAAATTGTTAACAAGTAAATATGACTACATAATATACACTGTTAACAAGTAAATATGACTACATAATATACAGTTAACAAGTAAATGTGACTACCTGATAGAAGCTGCCCCAGTGATGGTTTCACTGAAGTGGGTGAAGATGGGGGATCTTGTGATGGACTCAATACGTTTCAACTGTCTGGATGTTGGGATGTAGAACCTCTAGAGCATACATAATTTAGACCATTTTTAATATAAAAATTGGAATAATTAATACTTTAAAAAATCTAAAAAAATTAAAACTTCAATACTTTCAGCATTTGAAAATAAAAAAAACTTAAGTTCAAAATTTAAAATGATTCTAATTATAATCACTATTTATTATTATTAATAAAATAATTATTCTACAGTATTAAGAAGCTAATGTAAAGTAAATCTAATCATTTTAAAAACTTTAATCGTTAAAACTATTTTAGATGTCTATACCTGCACCAGGTAGTACACTACCCCTACAGGTACAATAACCAGCAGGAATGCAGGTGTGCTGTAGCTGACTACGACGATGCTGTTGATGGTTGTGAAGAAAAAATTCATCCAGCTCCTGAAGAGCTGGGGCAGGGTGTTGTCCACTGTCTCGACATCACCAGAGAACCTGTTCACCACTCGACCTGAGGGGGTGGTGTCAAAGAAGGACATGGGAGATCGCAGGACATTTCCCAGCATGCCGTTGTGAAGGGATCCTGCAGTGCGCACCATGCGGATGGAGGCGATGATGGAGTAGAACAGGATGAGAATTGCTGGGGAGAAAGTTAAATCAAATTAACCTGATGCAAATACTGAAATATGAATTAAAATTTAAATATTTTTAATTTTTTTAGGTAAATAAAACATAAATATTAGGTAAAAATTATTAATTTCCATTATAATTATTGACTCATTTATTGTGTAAAAACAATTCAATATCTTGTTTATTTAAAAAAATTAATTGCTGATATGAGGTTGGTATATTAATATGTCTTGTGTAGAATACATATAATAATAAATTAATTTAGTTTGAGGCAGAATCTTCTTAACTCAAGACTGCAGGAGTGTTTTGGGAAACTGCAAATTTTACAGCCAAGGACTGGAAAAAGTGGGAGATTGTGGTTGAGGCCCTATGGTCCACAAGCAGTCAAGAGAACTTAAATTGGTCAAGTCAATGAAACATACATATTTTAATCACTCCCTTACTGATAATTAACATTTACTTTAACAATATGAGGACCACTGTCCAGGCAACACAACTGACCTTGTCCAGCTCCCAGTGCACCATAAACACCCAGATACAAGTCATTTCTATCCTGGTACTGGCTAGTGTTGGACAGTGATCTGTTGGTCAGGATGTCGTCTGCTGTCCAGTCTGACAACCAGATACTGGAGTAAACATTGACCGCTTGGTAGCCAGCAAAAAATGTGAAGAAGAAAATGGTTGCAGCATAGCCAATAGCCTTGAAGTACACCAAGAAAACAGAGTACCTGACCTGCAGGGAAGCAGGAATGGGAGGATATATAAAGATGATTTATTTTGTATTGGGAATGTTGGGATAAGTAAACAAGGTTGGGTGAAATGTCAAAATGATTTAATCATGTTTAGTTTAGTAAAGTTAGTATACTCTTTTCCCAACTGTGCCCACAACACATGGGGTATCTGTTTCAATGGCCTTAGCATACAAGGTGATAATGTATTTAGCACTATGTTAGCCTCATTTGTTTCCTAACATAAGTTAGGTACCCATCAGTGCTTGGTAGATACAGGAGCATTCTACTGATTGAAACCGAATTTGAACTTAAGTCTTTTAGCAGTCTAGCATGCTATTCCCAAAGTTATCATAAGAGAACGAAAATGTTTGAAGATGATAACTTTAGATAAGCAATGTCAGAAAAGTGAAAAATTATGAGAGGAAATGGGAAGTTTATTTCTTCTGTCTAGTAATACTGTGATAACAGAATGTGAATGTGAATGGCAGGATATGTGAGAATGATAAGATCTGCATTTATTTAATTAAGGAGGGAATTGTAAGTCATTTTATACTTAACACTTAACAGTAACACTTTTTATCACTAATAAAACCATTATTATATTTATCTTAATTACTTGAAAGTAGTTTAAAGTAAAATTAGTAAAAATCAAATATATATAGGGCATATAGGGCCTATAAGTTTTAAGTCATTATTAATTTAAAGTTAAACAAAACCACTTCTTCTACACTACTGAAAAAAACAAAATAAAATCAATGACAAAAGCAGCAGACAGCATTATTTACCTTTCCTGTTTCTGTCTTTTCTTCCTCAGTCAGTTCTGTTCCAGGTTTAGATTTCTTTGTGTCTGTCTTGACCGCTTCCTTCACATCTTTTTCTTTATGTGAGCTGGTCAAGTATTTATGCCAGGAAAATTTATTAGAAACATATCAAATGTAAGTTAACTATTTTAAAATGGTACTTAAATATATAAACTTAGCCTATAAATACTTATAAATATATAAAAATTAGTATGGCACAAGTCAATGCAATTTAACAAATAACCTATTTTAATAATTTGTTTTACTTGTAAAGAAATACAGACATACATGTAGTGAAGGGTAAACTAAGCCCACAATATATGTTGGAATTTTAAAATTTTAGTGATGTGTACACATAGAAAAAAAATGTAGCCCTATAACGCTACTAACATTTTTAATAATTATGTTTTAATAGCTTTCATTATTAGTAGAAATGTAGTATTTCCAATGAAATAACATTTAAATTTTTAAAATTAAAATTTGATGGTCAAAGGGAGGGAACAATGTAATTACTATTCCCTGAATAGTATAGTAAGAGTTAATTTTCATTTTTAAAAAAATCTCGTAGTTCTACGTTGTGGAAATAGTTCAAAGGGAAAGAACAATGTAATTTATATTCTGCTAATTGTATACCAAGAGTTAGTTTCCCTTTTGAAATATTTTTTGACCAGTACTGTGAAAGGGAAGGAACTGTGTAATTTATTTTCCTCAAATAGTATGATAAGAGTTAGTTTCCATTATAAACTAAAATTCTCAGATTTTTTTACACTAGTGGAGAAAAAAATTGTGTAGTGTGATAATAGTTGATTCCCGATTAAAAATAATGAAAAGAGTCAGCTTAATCACTCTAATACAACGTTTTGAAAATTTCTTTAACCATTAAACTTTTTTAATAGATGTAAAAATTAGAGAAAATTGTAGGAGTAAATTTATAATTTTTTTATATGGTGGGGTAGGTGGGGGGGTCTAATTAAATTCTTTAAAAGGTTTAGTACATATGCTATTGCACACGATTTCATTTCTTTGTGGGCTATTATGTATAGAAATAAATAATGTATTTTTTATCAAGGGAAAAGACTCTTGTCAATCGTACAATTTTTAGTAATTACATTGTTATGTCTCTTAGACCAAAAAATTTATAAAATGCTAAATAAATTATTTATTTCTTAAGGTTATATAGACTCTTATTGGTTTTTACAAAGAATATCTTAATTTTAATGAGGGAAAAAATGGTGTAAATTGATTTCAAGATAACAGTTGAATAGTCCCAATCATACAAAATAATTTACCCTTCACTTAAACTATACATACTTATACAATTTTAAAAGGTAACTCACCTGGTATTTGGTTCACCCCCAGTGAAAATTTGTGATTTGACTGCAGGATCTGAAAAATATTTTTTCATTAATTTATCTAGAAAACATTTTAACCTAGAGTCTATATTTTACATAATTTTAAAAAAATTAAATATAAATTCAAAATCCATATTAAAAAATAAAAAATAAGTTATACATAACAATTTTTTGTTGCATAGAATTTCTTTCAGTCATCGCTTGCGGGGTGGGGGGAAAATTTTTTTTAATGAAGAAGATGTATATTTGAACCATTGTAAGCTCCCCCCCCCCCCTGCTTTGAAGTATGAAGTATGTCTGAAAGAAACACTAATGTTTTAATCATCACATTAAGAAGTTTGATAAAATGAAATACGTAGATAGTTCAACCAACTTACCTTCAGCCTCCTCCACCTCCTGTGTGAGGTAAGTCTTCAAAAACTGAGCAAACGGCCCATCTTGTGACAACAGCTGTTCATATGACCCGACCTCAGAGATTCTGCCATCTGTCATGACGACAATCTTGTCCACTTGAGGTAACCAGTGAACTCCATGTGTCACCAGAACACGAGTCTATAAAAGTTTTAAAAGTGAAATCTGTGTCACCAGTACACGAGTCTATAAGAGTTTAAAAAGTGAAATCTGTGTCACCAGTCTGAGTCAATAAAGTGAAATCTGTGTCACCAGTATACGAGTCTATAAAGTGAAATCTGTGTCACCAGTATACGAGTCTATAAAGTGAAATCTGTGTCACCAGTATACGAGTCTATAAAAATGACATCTGTGTCACCAGTATATGAGTCAATAAAGTGAAATCTGTGTCACCAGTATACGAGTCTATAAAAATGACATCTGTGTCACCAGTATATGAGTCAATAAAGTGAAATCTGTGTCACCAGTATACGAGTCTATAAAAGTTTAAAAAGTGAAATCTGTGTCACCAGTTTAAGAGTTTTGAATTTTAAAACCAGTGAATGTTTTAACACACCAGTACTAAGTTCTATAATTAAAGCTATGAAATACATTAACGGACTAAGAAACCTAAGATTTCATAGCTGCGAAATGTTTTTATAAACTTATTTTTTACGATCCAAAATACTTTAAATATTTTAAGATACTTATTTAGTTAAAACATTCAGTAGAATGTTCCTGAGTCCACCCAGCTCTGATAAGTAATTAACTTACATTAGGGAAAATTAAGGTGGCTGGGCATAGTGATGACCACACTATCCCTACATATGCCAAGGTCACTGAAACAGAAAAACTCTACTTTATCTGTCCCATGTGTCTTGGGCACCAACAGGAAACGATGATGATGTAGTTAAATAATTGATTTTATAAACATATTAATATCCACTTTTTAACCCATAAACTATCATCTTGCTCATTGCAACCAATATTCCCTCTAAGAGGTAAAAGCTAGTGTGCAAAATGTATTGTCTGTGTACGCTCTACTAAAAGTCTTATACAAGGATATATTTATTTTACAAAATCACTGCTCAAAATTACTGCATGGCCGAACTACAGCGCATCTTAGCTTACTTACATTATTTTTTTAAAAAATTAACCTCCTTTTGAAGTAAATAATTATAATGTTTAAAAATTTTTGTAACAAATATATTACTTCAATATATACCTTATTTTTCAACAAGCCATTATTTGATGACATGACCTTTTCAAAAATATGTTTTCCAACATGTGAGTCAACAGCACTCAAAGGGTCATCTAACAAATAAATATCTGCGTCACTGTAGACAGCTCGGGCCATTGAGACACGCTGTTTCTGGCCACCACTCAAGTTAATGCCCTGTTTAGGTGTTTGACAAATGTTTAACATTTTTTCTTGAGTTAACATTTGAGGGGACGGAGTGGTCTAGCGGTAGAGAGCAGGACTGCTAACCCATAAGTCTCGAGTTCGAAACCGGGTTCAAGTCAGCAGACCGTCCCTGAGTCCACCCAGCTCTGATGGGTAACTAACGCACGTTAGAGAAAGTAAATGCGGCTGGGCATAGTGCTGACCACACTATCTCTTCATATGCCGAGGTCACAGAAACAAGTGAACTATACTTCACTTGCCCTATAGACCGTCAGGTTTGAAGAGGGAACTTTAATTTTACTTTTAACATTTGAGGGTTTGTTAGCATTTTACCATATCTTAGTGTAAGTTAACATTCTAGCAAAAGTTAATATTTTATGTTTTTCATATAAATTAACAAATCTATAATTATTATTAAATATAAAGTCCCCATATTAGCATTTATAAAATAAAGATAGTTGGGGGACAAAAAAAATTAGTAGCTGACAAGTGTATGTGACATTGTAAACATCTCCCACAGTTCATAACTTTGTTTTGGATCAATCAAAACTTTATTTTTTTAACCCTAATATGTCTTCTGTTTATACAGTAATGACAGAAATTAATAATTGTCATAAAATTTTTTTTTTAAAAACCCACGTTTTCTGATTGAACTAAAAGTAGATTTGATTTTTCATTTGTTTTTCAGTAAGCCAGAAGAAGGAAAGTACCAAACCTTGTTTTTATCAAATTACAATTACTAGGCTATGTCCCTTTTTTGTACAAATCAAAAGGAGTCTAAAATGATCAATAAAATTTTTTCCATGGATCAATTTAGTAATAATAATAATTAAGTATTGTATTTTCATCGGAAACAAAGCTTCCCTGAAAATTTCAGCGCGCTAGCTAACTGGGAAGTGCCCAAAATTTCGATCGCAAGATTTGATGGAAAGACAAACAGATGCGAAAGCAAGTTAAAGAAAACATGGGAAAAAAACAGTCTCTATTTAGAAAGATAATTAATAAAAAGGGAAATAATCCAATGATTGCCTACCTTTTCACCAATCTCTGTCAAGTCTCCCCCAGGTAAAATCTCCAGGTCAGGTTTGAGGGCACAGGCCTCCAGTACTTCATCATAGACCTTGTGGTCCTCGTCTTTACCAAAGAGAACATTTTTCTTGAGTGTGGCATTCTGGATCCAAGCTTGTTGGGGTACATAGGCTATGCTGGACTGGAAGTTGCAGGGTTTAAAGAATAGTCAAAGGAAGAAATTACAGTTGAAATCACTGGAAATTATGTTATATAATAAACTAATTAACAGGAGACCATTATCAATCAAATAAATAACAATTTTTTCATGCCTTCACAGTAACTTCCCCTTGCAGTTTCTCCATCTCTCCCAAAATGGCTGAAATAAGTGATGATTTCCCAGCACCAACTTGACCAACTACAGCTATCAGCTGACCATCAGGTATTGAGAGGTTTATGCTGAAAAGTGAAAACAAATATTTTGAGTCAGAATACCAAAAATTTTAATTATTAAAGGCTGTAAAAAAACAACTAAAAACACCTAAAATAAAAGTAGCTTATTGTATTTTATTTATATATTTGTGCCATACTTACTCATTTAAGGTTGGAATAAAATGTGTTTTGTCCCATGTAAAGTCTCCTTGTTTTATTTTTATAGCATCTTCTGTTAATTATAAAAATAACAAATTAACAAGGGAAACTACTGTGCCAAATTAAAAAAATGTTTATTATTCAAATTCTTATCAGTAAGTTATATAAAAAAAAAACACCTAGTAATAAATACTACACCTATATTTCATCACCAAAACCTACATTTAAAATGAGATGTTTAACATAAGAACATCAGAGTTAAACTGTACAAATGACCTATTAGCACTAGAGTTAAACTCTACAAATGACCTGCTAGTATTAGAGTTAAACTGTACAAATGACCTACTAGTTAAACAATACAAATGACCTACTAGTTAAACTGTACAAATGTCCTACTAGCACCAGAGGTCAACTGTACAAATGACCTACTAGCACCAGAGGTCAACTGTACAAATGACCTACTAGCACCAGAGTTAAACTGTACAAATGACCTACTAGCACTAGAGCTAACATGTACAAATGACCTACTAGTTAAACTGTACAAATGACCTACTAGTACTAGAGTTAAACTGTACAAATTACCTACTAGTTAAACTGTACAAATGACCTACTAGCACTAGAGTCAAACTGTACAAATGACCTACTAGCACTAGAGTTAAACAGTACAAATGACCTACTAGTTAAACTGTACAAATGACCTACTAGCACTAGAGTTAACCTGTACAAATGACCTACTAGTTAAACTGTACAAATGACCTACTAGCACTAGAGTTAAACTGTACAAATGACCTACTAGCATCAAAGGTAAACTGTACAAATGACCTACTAGCACTAGAGTTAAATTGAACACAGCCAAAGTTCAGGTCCTCTTGTCTGAGAAACTTTTCTATTCTCTTTAATGACACAGTGGCCTGTGGAAGGTGACATGTTTGCATTAGTGACACAGTGGAAGATGACACACATTTGTATTAGTAACACATTGGCCTGTGGAAGGTGATACGTTTGTATCAGTGCAAGCACAGCTGAACTTACCTGTTGTCTAAAAAATATTTTGTAAGGATATCTTTAGCATGAACTAGTATACTGGTTAAATTCTATAGCATCTATATGATTAATATGGGCCTTCATTTTTCTACAGAGTTCAGAGAGGGAGTGGGGGGGGGGGGGGTGGGGCTTTAGAGATGCCTGAAAGAAACTCTGAGTGTTTAAAAAAAAAATTAAAATGTGTTCCAAGGGAGACAACTTTCCATTTAAAGAAAAAATGCTGGTTAGATTTAGCAAATACATTATACAATTTTGATAACTGCCCCTTATTTTAAACGTATCCAAAACTTGTTAAATTTTTCTCTGAGAATAGAACATTAATGATGAATTGTTCAAAAACGAACTAATTTTGAAATTTGAAAATTAATGTTTAATTGTTATTAAAAGTTATTATTTTGATTTTTCTGTATATAAAATATAATACCGAGGGGAGGGGGGAGGAGGGAATTGTTTTTAAACTAACCTCAATATATTTTTTTTTAAACTAAGAGGATAATAAACTTGTGCTATTTACTATTATTAAATTTTTCCTTTCTTTGTGTTGACTTAAAAGCAATTTAAGCAAGAAATAAAACAACAGGAATAAGATCTGAACCCTCTCACACAAGTATTGCCAGCTGTTAAACCAGTCCTAGCACTAGACCATACTGGCTAACACCTGAACAGTGAAGGTAACAAGTGCTACATTTTCTCACCTGGACCATGAAGGTTACAATTGTTGGCAGTAAGCTGACAGGAAACTTCAGGATGTTGAACAAAGTCAGGGCAACAAACGCCTTGTTAGCATCCAAGTAGTGAGAGTCAGACACCTGAATATAGGTGGCAAAGGTTGCCAAGGTTACCTTTAGAAAACAGGAAATATAACAAAATCAGTAACACATATAGTTTTATTATTTTAAATTTGTCTAGAGTGTAATACAGATATATTTTTTGCATTGTAATTTTGAATATAGAGTAAAATCTGGTTAGGTGGTCTACTAAAGAAATCAGAATGAACAATGGTAAACATTTGAAAACTACTTTTACTAAATAATTTAGCATTATCTTTAACTTTAAATTTACAAAGCTTTAGAAATAAATATATTGGAATATCTGGGTCTATATCTTTATATATATATATATATATATATATATATATATATATATATATATATATATATATATATATATATATATATATATATATATATATATATATATATACATGTATGGTTGGTGGAGCGCTTCATTAAGTTAATAAGTTTGATTTAGTTTAAAATACCATATAAGGTGCAGTTGTAGAAAAAAATGTTGAGATTGCGTTTAAATAGGCTGTTTTCTTCAAAAGGGCCAGCTCTTTTCCTCTGATTTCTTCCACCTTACCCTGGAAACATTTCTCCCAAGCATACAGTTTTAGCACCTGAAATGTAAATATAACAAGAGAGTAAAAACAAACAACTCAATTTAAAGACAGATGTATATTTTTAAACTCACTCTAGTATAAAATTAAACCAAAAATGTATCTAATATTAAAATAATGTTACTTATGGTAATGAATGTTAATCTGCTAATTTGGTGGAGTGCCATAAAAAGAAAAACAATAGCAATTTTGTTGAGAATTGATGATTTCTACAATTTATACAAATGTTTGTTAAAGTGATAAACATATAAATCTCACACATATTCATACAATTTACAAAAGTGATAAACATATAAATCTCTTCACATATTCATACAATTTACATTTATATATACATATTATATGCTTTATATAAATACTTGTATACATATATTTATAAACATACATATACATCCTTACATTTTTAAATATTTATTTTTTAAGTGTATTTATTTTTTTAAAAAAATGTATTTTTGTATGTACAAAACATCACAGAACATCTTGACTCCACATTAAACACTCAAATGATTTATAGTGGATGAATGTATACCTTGATCCCACTAAGGACCTCGCTCATGAGTTTTATTCTCTGGTCTCTGAACTTCATCTGACTGATTTGATATTTCCTTTGTTTCATGGCTATGAGACCGTTGATTGGCATCAGTAGAATCATCACACCTAGACCTGCCAGTGTAGCCACGCCCATTACATCCCACAACATGTACAGGGCTAGTGTTATCTAGGTTAGAGGAAACACAAAAGTTCATGTCAATTAAAAAGTGTAGCCACGCCCATCACATCCCACAACATGTATAGTGCTAGTGTTATCTGGGTTAGAGGAAAATATTTTGTGTCAATCAAAAAGTAAGGCCACACCCATAACATTCACAGCCTGATTACTGATTGTATAATAAAAAAATAATTAATTTGGAATAAGCATGCAAGACATCTGAAAATTATGTTATGTATGGCAATTATCAAGGTGAAACATTAACAATTTGTTATGTCAATTACTCTGTATATTTGACATTTATTAAAAGAAAGCATTGACATACACACCAGCGCCAACTTGGTTCCAAAATATAATTAATATTTAAATCAATATTAAAAGAAATCAACCGAAATGAAGGTACACCTGCAATGTAGCTGATGCTATGTATCACTATATTAAAATTATTTGACAGTAAACAAAATGGGGCTACACCTCCAATAATGTATGATATAAAATGTATACAAAACCATTAAAAAACTAACCTGTAATGGGGCTGACCAAAGCATCCACAGGTACCCTGTAACATCCTGCATCCTCTGACAGTCTACAGACATCAGGTTGACTATTTCCCCAACTGTTGTTTCCTTCTTGGCTTCATTGCTTACTGTAAGACTCTACACAAATAAATAGACCTACATCATTTTTTTTTAAACTGGTACAAACACAACTGTTTTGTTACCTAGATAAAATTTACAATGTGTTAGTATTAGTTTAGTAAAAAAAAACATTATTGGTTTAATTTTTAAAAAATTAAGTAGCATCACCAATATACTTAAAAAAAAATTGTTAAATATATTTTTGTTTACCTTTTTGTAAATTGCAGCAATAAGTGTAGCCTTGACCCTCATTCCTAAAGTCATACCAATATGTGAATTCTGGTTAAACATTATGGATCCCACAGTGGAAACAACGAAGAAGGAGCACGCGTAAACATACCCTTTCCATTCTTGGTCATTCTCCTGATACTTTTGTTTGTTACTGGTGTAGCTAATCAACTGACTAGATAGAAATTTTGTTAGAATTATATCCCTTGTGATTTTAAATGTAAAAGAATATTTTAAATTTAACAAAAGTATATTTTATACTTTTGAAGTTAATAACTAATAACGTAGGCATAGAATAACTAATATTAAGTCATTACCTTAGTAGTAAGGGGTTAACAAACTGCAACAGGTCATAAATAAACTTGTTGAAATGGGCCAAAAGCAAATCTAAGCCATAAGTTTTTATTAGCACCTGGCAAAGTAGTTAAATAAAAGTGATCAAACATTTGACTGGTTTGAGAAAAACAAAATCTATCATTGCTATTCACCGCTGAAATCATCTGAATAATCTTTGTATTTTATTTACATACCTTGAGTAAAGAAGCAGGTAAGATATCGTTATTTTCTTTTTTATCATCTTGAGCTTTGAATTTGGTAAAACTACTATAGCGTATCAATTTTGTTTTCTCATTTGTTTTGTTCCTAACACTGTTTCCTTCAACTTTTCTGTAGAAAAAATATTTCAATGTTGTTATATTCTCTTGGTCATTATAAACTGTCTTAACTTTAAAAAAAAAATTATATTTATTGATTATAGAATATTTATCTTTATTAGCACTTCATTTTTTTATTATTATACATTTCAGTATTTAGAGCAGTTTTGACACTTTTTTTTCTTTTTAAAATCAAAAACTTCATTGAATACATTTTTTTTGTTTCACATGGGGTCTGCTAAAAATATATAGTGATAACAAATGTTATACTTTATAATTATAACGTTATATTCTTTAATGTGTTCAGCTTGCTGAGAAGGACAGATCTGGAAATAAAACCTGTCACAATCCCTCGAATGTGACCAGTTAGTCTTAGTTAACTATCTAAAGGTGTAATGTTGGATAGTCTACTTTACCTTTACCTACAACAATATTCAGTCTTCAATGATATAAAATAAAAATAAACAAACTGTTAAAAAAATATGTTTCAAAATAAATAATTCACCTTTTCTTTTTTCTGGCATTGACCAGCTCTTTCTGCCATGCACTCTCAAACTGTCTGACAACTCTTTCTCCTTTATCTCTGGGGTGAAGTTCAAACAAGTCATCTTCTTTTAAGCCTTTACGATAACCTCGGAAGACTAAACTAAAAGAGAGGAAATACATTTATCCTTTAAAACTTCTGATTGAAAGTAAAACAGTAAAATATGCATTAAACTTTTGGATAAAAGTAACAAATATTTGTTTTTAGATCATAATTTGGTTTTATTAAAATGTTTTCTTTAATTAAACAATGTGTAAGATAATCTAATTATTTACCTGCCCATTGGGTTATGGTTTTTTGCATTTGTATGTAAAATCTTAGCTCAAGTTATAATGTGTAGAAAAATATATCTTACCCATTCATCCACCAGAAGGAAAGTCTGTTTGGAAAAGAAGCTGAGACTTCAGGAGATGGTCTCTGATAGTCAGATTTGTATTTCATATATTTCATTATATTATAATATAGTTTTTGTTTTAAAAAAATACAAATTAGGGATATATATTCAGTTGCAATAGAATTTACTTATTTAATGAATATTATCATCTTTCAATAAAAATATAATAAATGTTTAACAATCAGAGATAGACAGAATGGGTGATGTCACTAACAGCCTATATTAATTGATACTGCAGCCCTTACATGTTAACTCTGTTAAAGGATTTCGATTGTTTTTTACTTTCTCGTATATACGTAGTATAGAGAAAGTATTGTAATCGTGCAAAAAAAAAAAATCGAGATTTTTACAAATCTCGACGTTTTACACCTCACTGATACGGAAAAACATAATTTTGCAATCTTGTCCGTATGTCTGTGTGTGTGTGTGTCTGTCTGTCTGTCTGTCTGTCCGTGTGTAAACACGATAACTTGAGTACCGTTACAGCTAGGTTGATGAAATTTCATATATAAGTATTTTATCAAAATCGTAGATCCGTATCAACTTTTGAGCGATTTCCGATAACCGGAAGTGGTACTTTTCCTACTTTGAATTTTTTAAAAGCCTATAACTTGAGTACTATTTCAGATAGATAAATGAAATTTCACATGTAAGTAAAAGATCTAATTCTCTACCTTCTGTTAAATTTTGAGTAATTTCCGTTGACAGGAAGTAGTAATTTACGCTACTTCCGATTTCTCAAAAAACTAATGTAAATTTTAAAAGTACTAATAATATTGCGCACTATTATACACACCTTTATTAGGCGTTCGCTTGGTGCGCAATTGTTTTTTACTGAGATTCTATTCTATTTTTAAAAGTTTTAGTATTTAAAATGGATTAAAAATCATAACTATATCCCCAGTTACCATCCCCTTGTTGTTTTATATAAGAATATTCGAGAAAGTTTAGGGGAGATCACTACCGGTTTATTTTTCATGTAGCAGCTAAATTGTCATATTATGATTACACTAACCTCTCCCAAATACTGGTAGCCCCCACGAGACAACTTGTCAGAGAAACTTGACAAAATAAACTGTACCAGTAGCAATGTGTAGTAGACATAAAATATAGAAAATGTGAACAGGTGGCTGTCATACTCCTGAAAACAAATATAGAGTTTATCACCAGAAGAGCTCTTCAAGATATTTTAATTGAAGCTGTGTTTTATTAATGTTTAAAGAAAATATTTAATACATTATTTATTTTTATAGAATGAACACAGAAACTACACACATTAATGTTATGTTTGTTCAATTAATGTCCATTGATTATGAGGCAGGGATTTTAGAGTGGGTAGTAAATTGTACTGTTGTTACCGTTATTGAATAAACTAAAAATGAAATTTAAGAAGTTGTATTCAGACTTACCTTTAACTTTATTTTAGTGTAGAACGGAATAATATTTCCTATGACAGTTACAAACCAGAATATCCACAAGACACCAGAGGTAATTATACCTTTAATTCTTTCTACTTGTATCAGAATTACTGTCAATAACTGGAAATGTAAAATAGAAATTTATTATTTACTGACAACGAGCAGTATTTTAAACCATAGATAAATACTGTAATTTTTTTTTGTTTTCTATTAACGTAGACCAAAAAACCAAAAACAATAGATATTAAATTAACAAAGGCAAAGTGAAACAAATATGTACATATGTAGCTGCCTTGATGCCTCCAGTCAAATACACAACATCAGGAATTGAATCTGATTGGCTGCGTGGATCTGACTCCACCTTCACAGTGTCAATCACTGAGACTATACATAGAAGAAAGCTGAGAATCTGAAGAAAAAAAGAGTAGACTTATTTTGTAAACAAAATATAAAACTGATTGTTAAAATATAAATATATGTAGACTATATTGTATTAACAGCGTATAGGCCTATCCAAAGAGAAGAGGCAGTGAAGGTCTTCTTCAATTATCAGGCAACATAGAGAAATAGCACAAAATATTCCTCAAAAGCTTAAAAATGAGTACATTCATGTCATTAGAGGAGGCAACATTTATTGAGATAAAACAAAACTTACAGTTTTAGAAAGGTTGAGTTTATTGACCCGTATCCTGAAACCATCTGCGTAGCAGCAGAGATAGACAAGATAGAAAGGGAGACAAACCCAGACAAACCCACAAAGCACCCATACTATCAGGGTGTTCCTGAAGCATAGTGTGAATTCTGGCCAGGTGTTGTTCAGCAGGAGGTCCAAATCCTAGAATGTATTTAAGCATATATATATATATATATATATATATATATATATATATATATATATATATATATATATATATATATATATATATATATATATATATATATATATATATATATATATATATATACACTCACATATATATATATATATATATATATATATATATATATATATATATATATATATATATATATATATATATATATATATATATATACAAAGAAAAGTAAAATTGAAAATGATAAAAATGAAGATGGTACTATTGCTTTTTAAAGTACATTACATCAAGAAATTTCCATAAATTCAGCACCTTCGACTGTTTCTTACGCAAATGATATCCAGAGGCGTAGAGACCCCTCCCGGCGCCCGGGGCGAACTTTCAGTTTTGCGCCGCCCCCCCATATATATATATATATATATATATATATATATATACATATATATATGTGTGTGTGTGTATGTGTGTGCGACAGTCCGAAAAAAAATTAATAATTACGCTGTATGATTGTCGTTCCCTAAAACTTTACTCGACGCCAATTAAATTCCTCTTAAGATGCATAATCCTTTAAAAATGATGATTAGTAATGTTAGAAAAAAAATAAAAAAAACTGTAGCAGGTGCTAATTCGTTGAGGACAATCTTTTTTCTAGTCACCGATCTAGTACAAATCCTGCGGTTTTTGTATGTGAAAAAGCGCCCCCCCCCCCCCCCCCACCATCTTGGACAAAATTGGTAGAGCGGATTTTAAACGTCACTAACTCTTTTTTTTCATTTAACACAAAACACGCTTTAGTAGAAAGGGTTTCTTTTCTGAGTGATATCCGTTATTTATTCCTTAATCCGATGTGAATTTTTTCCGATTTTAGTCTTCGAAAAAGCGCCCCCCCCCCCCAATCTAGGAAAGCTGGAAAGCGGTTTTTCCGGTCACTGTTTCTTAAGGATATACGATTACAGTTACACAATCAAGGTAGAAAACAGTTAAATCAGTATGCAAAGGCTCTCAGCCGTTAAATTTCTTTACTTTGACTGTTTATAATTAAAAACTGCAGCTTAAAATGAGCTTTTAAAATTATTTTCTACCCCTTTTGGCGCCCCCCTAGGGTCGGCGCCCGGGGCGGCCGCCCTCCCCGCCCTCCCCTAGCTACGCCTCTGATGATATCGGCAATTTTATCAAAGGAGTTATAACAGACGATACACGGTTGTATTTATTAGAAAACATCTGGCGTCCTGATGAACTTTTGAAATTTCCAGCAAGCGGACAAAGAAATTTAAAGTTTCAATATTTGTGGTTACTTAGGTGGAACTGGTTGACTTATTCCAAGTTACTTGATGGCGCATTTTGCAAATATTGTGTTTTGATTAGTTTGAATTATCGTGGTGTAGGTAGTCAGTCTATGGATAAGCTATCAAAAATTTCATTTTCAAACTGGAAAAAGGCAACAAACAAGTTTAATGAGCACCAGCAATGTGAGTATCATAAAAGAGCAATTTTACTTTCCCAAAATAGTAAATTGGTGATGGAGAAAAAAATTGAACTTATTAAAATCTCCTTAAATTTATCATAAGTCAACAAATTCAAGAAAATCGTTTAAGATTAGCGCCCATAATAGAACCTATAACTTTTTGCGGCCGACAAGGAAATTTTTAGTTGGAGAAAACTGCTGAAAATGATGGAAATTTGATTTTTATAATTTTTTTACGATAGTGTACATGTGTTACTTGTTACAAAACAATAGCTAATACTAAGATAAGTTAGCCGGTGGCACCCACGAGTTTCTATTGTCACCAGCCACCAATACTTTACACGCACGCACTTACACATACATATGTACACACACACACACACACACACACACACACACACACACACACACACACACACACACACACACACACACACAACACACACACACACACACACACATATATATATATATATATATATATATATATATATATATATATATATATATATAATGCTGGAAAAATTTGAACCCCCCCCCCCCCCCCATGAGACGATCCTGGCTACGCCACTGCATAATTAACCACATTTTTACTGTGTTGTATCTTTACAGTGGTGATAAGACAACCTCATTTTTATTCTGGGTACTAATTTATTTGCTGATTATGTATTTTTTACCAAATGCATCTTTAAGACAGATTTAACTTGACATGCAAAACGTGTTGGGAGATTACTTAATCTGGCTCTATAGGCAGTGTTTCTTCCAGACTTTTTTCTCCGGGGGGGGCACTTGAAATTTTGGGGGGCGGTAGACTTTCTTCGGGGGGGCGGACACTGTTAAAAGTATATATTTTCTATATAAATTTTATAAATTTCATTTCGTATGGGGTGCGGTAAAAAATTTTCGGGGGGGCTTCGCCCCCCCCCCCCGAAGAGATGCC